AGAAAGTCAAAAATTACGATCGTTTTCTAAATCATTCTCTGTCGTTCGATATTTAACATTTTCCGTAATTAAACGGACGAACTACAAATGATTCCAATAGTCCGAGTGAACTATTATGGTCTCAACTTTTTTCTAGGCTGGTGGCACACCTATTTCCTTTTAAGAACATCCACGCCTCGTACTTTGGCCAATATGTTTCGAAATAGATTAGTACAAGACATCTAAGACGTACATACGTTTATAAAATAATAGTTTTCTCAGAATATCGTATACGTATTAGAAGGTTTTTTTTTTAGTCTCGGAGAGAGAATAATTAATAAATGAAGCATAATTAAGCCGCGACTATGTGCAATGACGTAAGTGCAATTTACTATACGATTTACTTGTGCGATTTTTTGTTTTCGTACTCGATAGAATGAACTCCTACGAAGTGAAATAGAAAAGATGTATTATTAGTTGCCTAAAATTTTGTTGATCAAATATTGAAAAAAATATTCCAAGTATACACATTCATGTCAACAAGTACGCTCTACTACGTGTCTTAACTTTTGTACTCATTGCAAAATAACAAACACTTATTACAAATACATCGTCTATCTTTCATTGTACATCACGAATGTCATTTACTCTTATAGGCCACAGGACAAACCCCCTAAGAAATCATAATGAGAGAAAAAAAGGAAATCAGTCGTTTCGTCCGTATCTTTTTTTAACAATTTGAGTACAACGAAACAAACAAACGAGTACACCATTTTCGATCCGATTCGGGGTCAGTCGCGACGTCGGTATTCAAAACATCGTATTTGCACTCGAACGTTGAGAAAGTCAAGGAGGTTTCGCAACCTGGAGACACGAATCGACCGAGCAAAGAAGACTGGATGTCGGTCGCGTTCCCCTTCACCGATCGCTGACCACGAATCGTGCCATCGACTATCCACTGTTGTCTATCGTAAAAATTTTCAGGAGGCTCGTTCCACTTCTTGTTCAATGATTCAATTCAGTTCATATGTCACCCGTACTTCCGCGTTAAATCATCTTTGAATTTTCATTAAAGATTTTCTCGATCGATTACCAATATTTCTGTCTCTAATATTGTTTTGCATTGACAACATAAGAATGTCGACAAAGTGGATAACCATAATTGTGGATAATCGAAAGCGAGTGAACGTACGTTTTATTCTAGTGCACTTACATATTCCCACATACCGTGTCACAGAAGGACACGTTGCTACGAAATGTCCCAGATAGCCGACATCGTCGAGCCATTCTATTCGCCATCATTATGATATTCTATCGAACCAAAAATTATCTTAAATGTATTATAGATATCCATCCATTCGAGGATGCTACGCTTTAAAAAAATATTGTCAACCATACTTAGAACTCAAGAGTTTAATCTTTAAACAAAACTTAAATGCTTTTGATATCAAACTTAAAGCGTGACTTATAAAGTAAATTGAACTTTTATGCAAGATCAGGAAGTAATAATCAAGAAGGAAGTGTGTCTCCTTGATCGTGACATTACGAAGGAAAAAATGGTAAGATTTTCAAGAAAAAAAAAACAACCTAAACGCGTCACGTTTTTATCGCTAATTGAATTAATGATGTAACGCGTTAAATAGAAACCATAGAACTTCTTATCGATACGATAGGTGATTTGCACCTCAAATTATAAAAAATAATCAGAATAAAAGTAAAAGTTTTTTATATAATATATATTTTACAATACAAAATCTGATGATTAGTTCGAAAATATCGGATTGTCATCGAGTGTTATCATTCTTACCTCGGTGAGTAGTATAAGTAACAAAAGAAGAGTCCCACAGATCCGTGAAATCGGTCGCGGACAGTCGACCCTTCGCATGCTCGTCATCCTCCGGCGAGAAGGCCAGACGCGCGCAGTGACGTCGACGGTCCTTCTCCTGTGTATGTTATCTTTTTTCTTCTTTTTTCTCCCTTTAATTCTTTTCCCCTTCTTCTTCTACTTCTTCGTTTTCAACTTCTTCACCCTCCTCAATCTCTTTCTCGTGGCGCACTTGCACACGCACTACACTATATAATATATACACCAAGAAGATGAAAACGAGGAGAATGACAAAGAGGATAAGGGAGTAAAAAAAAGAGAAAGGGAAAGAGAAAGAAAGAGAAAGAGAAATGGACACCTACGCCACTAAGAATAGCGGGAATGCGCGCGGAATGTGCGTGGCCTGACAAATCGATCGACAACTACGTTTGACGAAGAGAAGAACAAGCAACAGAGAAATCGTTCCGTAGCTCGAGACTCGTGTGTCCGCTATCACGAGAGGTCTCGCCGAATCCTATCCTGAACGACGACGCAGAAGGTAGAAGAGGAGGTGGAGGAGATAGAGGAGGAGGAGGAGGTGGAGGAGGAGAAGGAGGGTAGGAGCAGCAGCAGCAGCAGCAGTAGCAGCACCTGTTCGCCTGACTCGCTACTACACGGCTGACGACGTAGTACCTGGTAGTGGTGGCGACGTGTGCTGCGATGACGATGGTGATGGAAAAGCCGAGGAACAGCACCAGCAGCAACAGCACCGGTGGAAGGAACAACAGTAGCCATATCCGTCTAGACTCCGACCGGCTCGACGAGCTTTATCGACCGAATAGACGACAAATTCTTTTCTTTTGTCTTTCCTTTTCTTCTTTCCTGCTTTCCCGAAAGATTCTTTCTTTCAAAAGATTCTTTCGAAGAAGACCCCAGTCGGTCTTTCTTCTCACGACACCTCAAACTCCATCATCCTGATACCGTTGTTCAGTGTCCAAGTATACTTTACAAATTCATGGACTTTCACTTTAAATCTCCGCTCCTACTTGCTTTCGACACTCTTTGATAACAAGCTTTGTTCTTCTTGACACAAAGTATCGTCATCTTGTGTTCCAAATACAATACTTCTTTCTTTTAATGATTTAATGATAATTTCTTGCTAGATCACTTTAGGATCAATTAAAACTTTCGAGAAACATGACTTGATCCGTCCCTCGCTCGAACTGTCACGATTAAAGAGGGCACGGCTCGCGTAGGTGGTGCTGATGGTAGGAAATTGGAATGAGCAGGTGACTGGGAGGAAGACAAATTATCAGACTACCTGAATTAGACAAGGACGCGAAAGAGATTGGAAAGAGGGTAGAAGAAAAAACTTGGAAGATAGTAGAACGGTGATTAAAAAAAAAAAAAAAAAAAAAAAAAAATGAAATTTCAAAAAAGAAAGAAAGACACAGGAATATACTTCGTCTATCCTTTCATTTTTTAATAGGATTCCTAAATACTTGAGAAAGGACACTTCAGTTCGCAAACGTTCTTTTCTGTTACGAAAGAAACGAAAAATGACACTTTTTTTAATGACACGTGACGATAACAATGATGACGACGACGAAGACGAGCGTGCCGTGCCTCGACCGAGGAAAGCGCCGGGCAAACAGCGCTCTTGGCTTTGCCGCGATGTTCGCTCCCTCGTCTGTTCACTCGTCTCTTCGACTCGACGACCCCGCTGACTGCCTTTCCATTCCACTCGTTTCACCGTCTCCCCATCTCTCCTCATCCTCCACCAACAGACCTGGGGCTAGCCCCAGCCGGATACCACTCTAACTCCCCACCATTGCCGATCCTCGCCATTACTGTCCCCTCTTTTCTCTCTATACTTCTCCCCACTATCATTCTTGGCACCTCATAGGCGTAGATTTTGCATCGTCTCGACGCCATCTACTCCGAACTAAACTTGACGGTACCTTGAAGGAGTAATAAAAATGATTATTTTCTCTTTTCTCATATATTTAAAACATTAGTATTCTGAAAGTGATCCTTTTGATATTTGAATAATGTTCACAAATCTAAATGACAAATGTTTGTATTAATACCTACAAGTTCTGAAAGAAAAAATTCATTTCCTTTTCTAATTAATCCGTTCTATAATACATTCGAGATTCATTATAAAATTATAATAAATTCTTTAATTTAATTTAATTTAGAATCATTCCACATGTTTAAGTTACGCCAATGTTCGCTCCTATTTGTCTGCCTTCACCGGCGCACGTTCTTCTCCCCACTATTTCTCTACCCGCCCACAGCCGACTAGTAAGCGAGAGTATTCTTAACGCGTACACACACGCGCGGTCCACGACGCACGCGCGCTTCTTCCAGTAGCGTATATGTGCCTGGACAACACTTTCGAGCGGTCAAAAATAATTCTTGTTGGACAAGAGGAGAGACACTTTCGACGCTCTCAAAACGAGATCTCACTTTCTCTGCTGGTCGTTTCATCGAATCTCATTACTAAGAACAGATTAATCATATTTTAAACAATGACCCATTTTTAATATGTTTGGTATTTTAAAGATAAAATTGATGATTAAAGAAATACAGACATCCTACAGGTGTATCTCGAGATTTACAAGCTGTTCACCCTCCTTTTTATCACCCCTCCTTCGTTACTCAAATTATCCACACCATGCGATCACCCTTTCGTAACTCCATTGATGTGAATCGCATGTATAAACTTGATGCCCGTGGCGATAATTACCGACCACATAATTCCAAATTGAATAGCCTTGTGACGTACACCTCCAAATTATCTCTATGTCATTCATCATAATGTTATATACGTGCTGTTCAAAACCAATTATATACTTCATTTGAAAATATTCTATAATCGTTGAAAAGAAAAAATACTAGAAAGAATATTTTCGATCGTTTATCTAAACTATTTAAAACTCTCGCTGTAATTCTGATTTTCCATAGTCTTAAAAATGTCTATTATTAATTCAAGATACAAGAGTTTATTTACAAATATCACTTAATTTATACTATCCTTTATTTATGTTACGATATTTACGATAAAATATGTTTTGGATCGCTTATGGATCTACACCATCAATACGATGAAAAAAAAATAACAGCAGCTATCGTCCTTTTCAAACAGGGTATACGATTCGAATGACACGTTACTGTTGAAGCGTCTTGCGCATGCTCATTCGAATAACGGTGCGAAGAAAGTCCGAGATATTAGACAATGGATAGGTTTGCTCGGGATAGCTTTGAAAGTTGCCGACGTGAAATATAAATGAGATTACGTCATATGTTTATGATAATTTGCTTTTTCTCTGTGTGTCGAGTTTCCCGACGTTGTGAAAAAAAAATTTGCTTTGGTTAACCTACGAATATAAAAAAAAAGCTTAATTTCGAAAGCTATCGTTTCAAAAACCGACAAATATATTTAATTTATTATCGAATTCGATAGAGAAAGAGAAAACATGAGTGACATATTTCAGTTACGATTTACATTCTACAAGACGATAATACCTATCGCGTATGGTGGTAAAGTGTATGTAGCTTGCTTTTCATAGCTTTACCAGAACGTGTATAATTCTTCTGTTTATCGTTTGAATTCATAATAAAATTGAAAAGGAGAAGGAGAAATTGATAATCGTTCTTTAAATCACACAACATTTGTGTAAATAAATATTCTACTCGCGTTATCAAAAAATTCCTTCGTCGAAAGAGATATGTCTGACTCGGTGTCTATGAACTTATAAAATTATGAGATAACACGATGTCATTTTATATTGAGTAATATTTCAATAGGAAAATAATACCTCTTTTATTTTTAAATTTCTTGTTTTTTCTTCTTTGTCGAAGATATCAATGTCGATAATAGAATTTTCTGTCGCGACGATGGCTGGTACACTCATTCGGAGAGCAAAGAGAAAGCCATTTTCAGTGTTCAACAACGACCTCTAGCGCGATATTTTTAAAAGTATACGCGCCATTTATTTTAAGATTCGAATGTGTACTTTTGGCGCCATCTTTTTATCACATTTAAAATGCTTGAATAGGAAATAAAAAAAATGTCGATTTTTTTTTTTATATATATATATAAACAATTTTATCAAGCTATTAAAAATAACTCGTAAAAAACCATTTATCTTAGATAAAATATAAAAATAGATAATTCACATTAAGCTTTAATTCTAATGCCTTTTTCTTATAGGAGAAAAATAACAAAAGAATTAAAAAGAAGCATTTTATTTTATCTCTGATCGTGAGACATTGAAGATAGTTGTTCATTAAAAATAAGAAAACGTGGAGGCTGTCCGTTGCCTCGAACGATCAGAAAAATGATGTCAGCGATAAGTCAGGTTACTGCTTTTTTCTCTCATTTTATTTACGATGACGTCACCGTCGAAACGGTCGATTATTCGTATGCAGCGTGAGTCGGAATGATCGTGGTCTTTCGTGCTAAGCAAAATCAAGTTTCAACGACATCAGAATTTGTATACGAATGATCTGTTCTCGATCTATCAAATGATCTTTTTACTTCACGCTTATATCCTTTATCGATATGTAGATTAATCGGACATTAAAGGAGGAAATCTTCGAAGTCAAATCAATCAAGCGGAAATAGTCAAGATTAAACTATTTCTATACATAAGCGGCATAGAACGTCGTCATCGATGCATCCGCCATACTAAGTTATTACCATAAACAACGATTCTTGCGGTGAAGCTGTTGGCAATCATCATGGTAACGTGGGCGACAGGAAAGAAATAAAAGGTACGAACCGACGAGAAGATTTCATCGATAATAATTCCACGAAATCGTGACTTACAATTTAAATATTTTTAACGATGTTACATTAATTTTTATATATAATATGATAAGAAAAAGATAACAAATAATAAATCAAAAACAAACTGCCTTATCTTATTTCATTCCATAATAATAAAAGAAAAAAGTGTTTCGATATAATTTTTAATCAGTTTGAGACAACACAAAAATTCATTTTAAACACGTTCGAATAAGCGTCCTTGATTTTGAATCGTAAGCGTCACAAGGATCATGCCTTGATTGTATGCAAGACGTAAATGGATGCGTCCCTGCATATAGAAGTACGACTTCCGTGAATGCACTGACCAGGCAGACTGTGCCCGCGCTTTTTCGATAGGTTCTTTAAGCGCACCTGCGTTTACGCGACAAAATATTTTCACGAAAAGAAAAAAAAAAAGAAAAGGAAATATCAAATCTATTTACATGACTGTTATATCTTTGTCCGCGTCAAAGTAAACTGAAAGTTAAGTTTGCAAGTGAAGGGTGTTAAATTTTACATTCAATGGCTAATTATCTTACGCGTAGATAGTTTGGGTTCTTCAAACAGGGATAACAGACTTTGAACAGATATAGGTAGATTCATCAAATCTGTGTATAAATTTTTAAACGTGCGAGAATACATTATAAAGTTAATGAACATTAAATTTAATTAGATATTTAAAGTTGTATGTGTATATCTCTGTATCTACCTATGTATATACATATGATACTTAATTTATCGATATAACAAAGACTATAGTTATTAATTAATATGATATCGTTACTGATACTAATAATCTAAAGATTATTAAAGATTCACTGACAATTAAAGTATATCATTATTATCATTGGTTTAATTAAATTTTTTTACATTATAACTACCATAATAAAAAAATTTTCATTAATAATTCTCATTAATGATGTATTACTAAAATAATACATTTGTATAACTAAAGATTATGCCAAATTTAAACGTAATAGATTAAAAAATAATAACAAAAAACGAGGGAAAATAAAGATGAAGAGTCTTGCTCAAATTTTGAGGATGAAAGAAGAGAATAAAATCAAAGAAAAAGGCAATGAGCGAACACCTGACGGGCGCTTATGCTACACTCGCGTTCGCGCATGCGTGCATGCGTGCGTTTCGTGGCGTGTATCGGCGAACTCCCGCGAACGTAGGCTCAAGTGGATACAACCAGTTCTAGACTGACGGCCACTGCGGTGTCTCTCAGTGAAACGTCTTCTTGATCGCGATCCATCGATCCGTCGATCCGATCTTACTTAATTTATCTTGTGACACGCGATCAAGAGGAAAAACGAAAAAAAAACGAAACGAAAAAATTAGTCGAATCGTCGGTGTGTCATTTCAACAAAATCAAATTGGGATTAGTTCCTTTCTCGCGAGGTGAGAAATAATCTTAGATTCATAAATCTATAAGTAATTAATCTGCAAGATTCGATTCATTGCTATACCATCTTTGATTTATCATTTATATCATTAATCGTATTCCTTTGCCACAAGGAACTCATTATCTTTCATTATTTTATAAATTTGTCTAATTTTTATTTAGTACGAAGCAATATGCGTAAAATTGAAATCAATTCTGTCTGTTCATCGTTCATTTAATGAATTTTTAATCGATTTTATGATCTTTGTCAAATTAAAAAGGAAATACATATAATTCGGAAGATCGGCCAATTCTTTCGAATGCCATGACTTATCAACTATCTGGTATTGTCATTATTATCATAATTATTAATTAATACTTTAGAAATTAATTATATTCTCAGAAAAATCTTCGATGTTTTTAATTTGAAGTGAAGTATTTAAATATCAATTCAACGTATATTGACGTGGTCTGTCAATGTACACTGTACAGTGATTAGTCTCTTCACGATCAAAAAAGAACATCTTAGCGGTTTCAAGTACTCGTAAACAGTAGATGGCATTATGCTACATGTGTCATTATTTAACGTGTGGTGATCCTTTTTTTATATTTAAATCCAACTAAGCATATAACCGGTATCTATAGTTGATTTCTGTAGCTTCGTTATTTCATATAATTTAAAAATAATTCATTAACAAACATAAAAGTATAGAAAATAAATATATCACACGTATGGTAGCTTCACGACGATAAGTATCAAACATTCTTATTGGAATACGTAATCCGAAGACCAAACGATCCAATCGATCCAAACGATTCTTTTTCTTGGATAGGTGGAAGGTCAAATCTCTCTTTGTATTTTTATAGAAGTTTTACCTATGTATAGCTCGTTCCACAGGTTTTCGTAACTATGAACGCGTGCCCATCAAAACGGCAACTATTTACGTTTCTCTTTATCGTCTTTGATTTTTTTTTTTTTTTTAATAGAAATATTAAATATAACAAAGTTCGTACATTACACAATAAATCATCGAATCGCTACAAACACATACTGATATAAGATAGAAAAGAAAAGTTTTTTGGTTTCAATATAATAATGAAAATGAATAATGTAAACTTTTGTGTAGCGGGGTAAATGGGACGTTGAAGGACGAAAGCAAGAGCAAAAATAGGCATAACGCCAAAAAGCTGCTGGTACGAAACTTTGTGCGACTACTACCACTAGCTAACAAGACAAGAATAGATTCAGGTTCGCCGATGTAGTTTCGTGATTTTATACGATTCTACGTCTTTTTTTCACGAAATATGAACGAACGAAATATGCGCGTAGAATTTTTTTTAAATGTAATTATCTTAAAAAATATTTACATTTACATATGTGAACATAAACATGTATTATATATAGAGAACTCAATTATTAAACAAGCAAATATCTTACAAAATAATTAAATAATGCCATATTTCGTGGATATATCAACAAATAAATAATTAATTAATTGATAATAGTACATTAAATTATAAATATGAAAAATAATAGAATGACAAGTAGCTCCCTTAAGATTCTGTGAATTTTATCAATTTTATGATTTGATAATTCTACGAATAACTACGCAAAACACAAAAAATCTCTAACTTATGTTAGGTGAGAGTGTTATATTTATGCGGATCAAACAAAGAACGAAGATCGGTGGCCAACGGTTGGAGGAGGGTAAGATGGCGGCGCGAGAGAAGAAAAAGATAAAAAGGAGATGAGACGAGATTCCGGGCGCCGCCGGTTGGTCAGGCAGCTCGTCACCCACGTAATGTCATACGTTATATATATACATATATATATATATACACATATATATTTATATATATATATATATATATATATATATATATATATATATATTTATACCTATATAGTTAGTTCTCGTTTTACGAATGATCAGCTTCAAGATTTCTCTTATATGACATAATATCAAAAATATTTATCTTTTATTTAACACAATTAAACTTTTTAATAAAAAAAAATATAGTATCAAAAATAAAAGACACGTTTACAGAATTAGGTCTGTAGGAAATGTAAATTTTCATTTTGTTGTATGTTTATTTACTTTACAGAAAATGTTTATTTTACAGAAAAAAAATAGTAAAAAATTAATTCGTAAAGTCTCGAATTATCTATATTCTATAGTACATTCGTAGAATTATTACATATTATTTTTCCCTGAAAGTAGAAATTGAAGTAGTAATATTTCCAGACTTTACATTTGAAAACTATTTCTCAATAGTTATTATTCGTTTGCTAATTTTAACTGTACTTTTGCAATTTTTTCGGAATCACGTTTTTTTCAAATTTATTTTTATAAAATCATTTAAATCGTTAACTTTCTATTTTGTAAAAAAGAACTAAAAACAGATATTTTATCATATTAAATTGTTAATTAAATTAAAGCAAACGATAATTCTAATCTTCATTTTCATCTGATGAAAGATGCCAACTATCTTTATCTTATCAAATAAATAAGAAGGAACCAAAAGAAAAAAATCGTACTGTCTTCTATTCATGTAATAGAGTATTTATTCACTTAAAAGAATATTAAGGATTTCTTTCCGTCTGAGTTGCTATGGGATCAACAGGGGAACGAAGTCGCGTTTTGACAAAGTTCGCCATACTAACCTTGGGATCTCTTAGGTTCTCTTCCCTTCGGGCATTGAGGAAATTCGATATAGGAGAATGTTAACAGAGAGAAAGCTAAGGTTATACATGCTCGATCTATTAGTAACCAAACGCAAGGTCGTCTTTCGAAAACGACGTTCAAGTTACGCGTGTGAAGTAACTTAAATGGGGCGTATCGTAATTATATTTATTAAGGAATAGAAAGGTCGACGATTAAAGTTCATTACAAGACCAACAGAAATTTAATAAATTGCTTAACAAACCACCTAACGACTTTATTAGACGAATATAGAAAGATTTTGTAATGATTTTTAATGAATTTAATTAATTGTAGTCGTTCGATACGATTTATAATTAAAACTTGTTCAATTATTTTAATTATTTAAGCTACAATGTATTATATCAAGAATGTATTACTAATAGACGATCGTTGTCAAATATACAAAGATTAAATTGAACTAAATAAATATAACAGTGTTAATCATCAATGAAGACTATCTATTAGTTCTTCATGATCATCGGACATGTGTTCTCTCGAACGTCACCCGAAATTTAATTAGCTCGATCGAACGGCTATTTGATCGTTCGTATTCCATGTAATTCTCCTACTCGTGCCGTTGTTCACACTTCCATATTGGATAATCGCTTCCTTTATGAGAACATAAATTTTTTTTTGACTTAAAGAAATATTTCTAACGAATATTTGTCTATTGGTTACTCTTCGGAAAATTTTAATAGCAAGATTTTATTATCTATGATTCATTAAATTGTATCATTAAACTAAATTATTTTAAAATACATGTAATCTATTGCACGATCGTTATCGTAAAACGTTTTATCTGTGCATAAATTATCGATATCGCAAACCGAAGTTGGAACTGTTTTATACTTTCATTAGTTTTAAATTCTCAAGATATGTTTAAATTTCTGAATTCATGAAAAAACCAGTGGTATATAAACATAACTCATACCATCTCTTTTATATCATATAAAATTAACAAACGTTCTGATGCTGCAGAAAAATTAACGATGAAACTAAAGAAGACAGAATGAAAATAATACAATGAAGTGAATACTATTGATTTTGTTGTACATTTCCATTTTCCATTGGTGATAACAACCTTGTCAACGTAACTATCGAGAAGGTTGTATATACTATGTAAATACTAAAGATTGCAAAAGAACGAAGGTTCATTTTTATCAAATGCGTGACGAATAGAGCCTTGATTACATTTGCAAATATAAATTGCAAAAGCATGTCGATATTATAAATGGCGTAGAATAATAATTTTAAATGTCTATCGTGTTTCTAGTCTCGCGATCCTAAATACGATATACCTACGCTTTTATCTTTCTTGTATATCATTCGAAGTCTGAGATCGAAAGAAAAGATAGAGGTGCAATTTGGCAGTCTCTTTTGAACGAAAACAAGCCATAAATCCATTGAATCATTGGCCAATTCCCCGAAGAACAAAGAATATAATTTAACCAAAAAAAGAATATAACTATTAAACACTTTTTGCCAAAACTTATAATGACGAATATATCCTCGAAACAAACGCAATCACAGTCATCGTCATTTTGATTAACGCGCAGACCTTGAGTCACAATTCACAATGTCACCAAGACTGTAACTCGTTGTTAACGATGTGCTTAAAAGCGGTTATATCGTAGTTGACAATGGCGTAATCACGGAGACTCTTCAATTTACCATATTTGTTAATGTCTAATAGCTAATCGATCAATTCTGCTTAAATCTATACTGGATGATTGTTTCTTTATAAAATAATCGTAAACAATATTTCCAATCCGAGATATTAATAAACATATTTAAATATTTTCTTGTTATAAAAAATGCTCATTAAATTAATAATTTATTAGTAAATTGAATTCGATGTTGAAATATTAAATAATTTCACCTTGCGTTCGGAATTTAAAAAAAAAAAAAAAAAAAAAAAAAAAACAAATTGCATAAGAATATTTTTTAATAAAATAATATGAAAAACTTCGCTTATGAAAATTTAATCTTTTCTTCATAATGATTACGCCACTGTATTGTAAATATCATTCAAATGAGTGAGGGAGAGTGATCGAATAATTACGTATATTCTATATTTGTACATATTTACATATATATGCATACACATGTATAACGTGCGTACAAAACATCATCGGTCGACTTTGAATGAGAGTTTAATCTCGAGATGATCTACGAAGAAATTTTCGGAGATAACCTTTGCAACGTCAGGCCTTTAAGTGGTCACGAGGACGATTTGTCTATCTTTCTCGTTCTCCTAACAGTGGCGTATAGGAGGATTAAAGTGTTTTTAACGATCTACTGTGAACGCGTGTACATACTCAAACATTCTCTTGTTAACAACTCGTTAACTACTCGTAAATCTTCGTCAAAAAAGAAGACAGACTGAGAAGGACCTCCTCTCAATACCACGAAAGAATATCTTGATCCCCCAATGACCTCGGATCAACATAGACAACATGACTTATTCTAATCTTTTGGTTCGTTCACCATCTCCTACAAATTAAATCTATCGTGTTATCTAATTAGATTCAAAAGATTAGTAGATCGTTTGGATGATTACGAAAAATAAAATATTATATAACTTTTTGAGCGAACTTCTTTCGATGTTCAAAGAATAAATGAGAAAAATTACAACGAGATTTTATTCAGGAAAATAAATCCGAATTAATAGAAACGAGATATTATCGAAGAGAGAGATCAGAAAAGCACAATGATCTTTCGCGATTTTATGGCGACAACGAAATAGAAAAAAAAAAAAAAAATAAACAAGAAAGGTGATTGAAAAAATCATGGATTTCGTGAGGAAATTTCGTCGTTTGTTCACATCTATAACGAGCTCGTTGATTATTACGAGTTCCGTCCAGCTTTTAGGCCAATTCGTAGTAAGAAGTCGTTTCAGCGGAGATCGTAGGAGCTCGTTCAAGCGAACGATTCTTAGTGGTCGATTCTCGGAAAGGCTCCTTGGCCCCTTGGCCCCATTCGTATCGGTGCCTCAGCCGGAATAAACAAGACGTTTGGCGTTTCTCGAGGAAATAGCATCCAGTCAGCTAAATTCTCTCGCATCGCTGCCCAATATACCATCAGATGCTTTATTTTCGTGGAGAAAGTCGATCATCATTTACACTTAGGTGGAAAATCATAATATGATCCTCTTGAAATTTGTAAAAATATACCATATACTTTCTATATAACACGGTACATGTTATTTTATTTAGAAATTAATAATTTGTTACTTTTACTAATGAATTTCTACTAATGAATTTACGTACAAAAGAATAAAGGTATATAAGATAGAAAAAAGTATTTTAATATAGCTATAAAATCACGAATTACCATGTAAAATGGAAATATTAATTTAATTAATGTGGCAGATTAAAAATTAACTTTGAAATTTGATCTAGGTTGATATCAAAATTTTATTAAAACTTGGCAAACAATTCGAAATAGTGCGAGGATTACGTTTCAAAGTGTAATATAGATTCTAGGAACGATATTTTTATACTTTATAGAAATACAGATATTTGTTAAACGACAATGACATTACATTAAGAGAAAAGATTACAGTAATGTACAATTACATTAATAGAAAACAAGCTACGAATCGACTTGCTTAGGTAAATTGTAAATAATTATGTGAATACTTGCAAATTTTGTTGGAGCTGGAAAAATGTTATTACGACCCACACGAATGTCGATGTCCTGCGTTACGAACACAACGTGCTATAGGTAAACCGGCTCCGAACTAAAGTTCCTGCACCACACCCGTAGATCCAATTCCTATGCATTTATCGTTTTGAATATATGCAAGCTTCTATAAATAGATAAAGCTTTCTATTGAACGCTTATATCTATAAAATATTAAAGAGAGATTATCCAAGATAATCTACATTACTAATAAATTAAAACTACGAGGCTTGATAAAATTTATTAAAACTTTCAAATATTTTTGTATATCTTAATCTAATTTATTCTTAAATATTATATATAATAATGATTATTATATTCTTACATCTTGAATATTATATTTAATAAATTTATGATTTAAAAATATTTAATGTTGATTTCATTAAATAAATCTATCAATGTTAATTTAGGTATCGTGAGGTAGGGCTACAAGGAACGCGATGTCAACGGCTGTAAGGGAGAGGACGAGCACGCACACCAGTAGAAAGATCGTGAGTCATGGCGGTCCTATATCTGGCCAAAGCCACGGCGCAGTCACGGCCGGCAGTCTCGAAAACAATTTAGGTAACAATTTAAACATGACACTAGACAATGTAATTCTATCTGTTTAGTTTTTAATCGAGTGATCGACATTTCTTAAAAATCGCCATCCATACGGCAAATTTGATCGGCCATTTTCGAAATTGCATTGAAATCTCTACTGTCGAAGAAATGTCTTGCTTCTATGCATTACCAATCGTAGTCGTTATCGTCATCGTCCGCCTTTCTAATCTCGTAGCGTCGAGCATGCACCAATAATAGCAACGCTCGACATTTTATTCTCGTCGTTTACTTTTGTCATCCCACTCACTTTTCCTTCTTTGTGAAATACGTATAAGAACCAATGTAAATCAGTCACTTTACTAATGTATTTTATATACTAATGTACATTAATATTAATAATTATACTTATTAATCATTTGAAAGTATTAGCATAAATCATTCTTTCGACGATTCTATCGAAATCGAAATACGAGAATGATATTTTTTAATTAGATGAACTAACGAAAATAATTTCACTTTGAATAAGATAATACCTTTTAATGAAGTTAGTCACGTCCAGAGTGTCTTCCTACGTTTCTAGAGAAGTAACGAAATTTCTTTCTCTTTCTCTCTCTCGTGCCATATTAAACGACACTTTTCGAACAATTTCAGATGCACTTCTCGAGGATCTTCAGACTAGCGTCTCGAGAAGTGCCACTCCAAGTCGAAGTGGAAGAGCTCTCTCGCCTCAAGTCGAATACCGTGTGGCTGCGAATCCAACCAGAGTGGTCACCGAGGGCAGGTGAGTCTTTTCATAAAAGATTACATTTCTTTCCTAACACAACGCAAGATATGTGATATCAAAAACAATAATTGAAGAAACCCTAAAAAAACTTTTTTAAAAATAATAATTTTTATTCAATTAATAATGTATAAATTCTAAATCCGTTTATCATCGATTCTACGATTTTGCGTTTAACAATATAAGAATGAAACTAGTAAAAGAAATTAGAAGTATAGAATGTAATAATTATTACAACAAAAAATAATTATAAAAAATAAACTTTCAGGACCGTATCACCAACACGCTCTACCAAAACAACCACTGAAAAATTTGTGAGTACAGTTCCTAGTGGTGTGCCCAGTAATATACCAGGATTAGAACTTCTCGATGCAGAACTCCAAAATGTAAGAATTAATATTTTATGATTGATAACGATATTAATCATATTAGTAAGATCGATTATGCAATATTAAAAAAAAAAAAATTTTTGACCTTTTCAAAACTTGCACAACGATCATTCATTTTAAACTTAAACGTTTCGTTAGAATGAAATCAAATGTATCATCTAACGACGACAAAAAAACGAAAGAAAGAAAACAGCAAGAAACGCGTATGGTAACTACAAATTAACATACTGGTATCCACTATTTCCTCGTCTCCATAAAACTCTAGAGATATTAATATAAATTAAAGCGAAAAAAGAAACTTCAAGAGCATCGAATATTATTAAATTCATATATTACATTTAAACGAAGTAATGCGTACTTAAACGAAAATTAAAAAAATGATTATCCACAAATGTTCATTCAATTCAGAAATATTCATTTCAAAGATGAACATCATTGTCAAAAATTTAATTATTTTATTGCAATAAAAATAGAACTGAACTTAAGCTCATAATAAACGAATGATCTAATTATCCAATATTAATTTTTGTATCTAAAAAATTATATTATATAATGTAAAACTAATAATATAACGTATATTAGTGTAAATAAGTAAAAGTATAACTTACATTTAACAAATATTAAACTTCGAATATTAAGAAATATTTAATTTTGTGTTAGAAAAAAAATAAGACTTAAAAAAATACACATATATGAATGTGTAACTTTAAAATTGCATGGACATTATAGAGCAACTTTTCTCAACCTTTTTACAATGGGCCCCAATACATTATTAATCTCTAATGGTGCCGTTATCCAAACACATACAATATACATATAATTTTTAAGAATTTAGTAGATTGGAGTCACTTGAGTCACTTTAAAAGATGCAGTATTCTCACGAACTCCCAAAGAACATTTTATGGAAAATTTTTTGGAAATCACTTAGAAATTAATCACTTCTCTCGCTTTGCTATAAGGTAGCAATTATTATTTTATGGTCGATTAAAAATTTAAGACCCATAAGTTGAGATAAGCTGTTATAGAGAGTTAAGTTTGGTCGCAAGTGATCGCATCTCTTCTCTTCGCTTCCAGCACCTAATGTGAGAATCGTTCGTCATTTCTTCGCGTGGCTGCTCTTTCAAACCTTTTAATCAACGATTACCAGTTCGAAACGCGTCACTTTACGATTTTACGTCCTGAATAATAGACACGGAAGATTACGTTGCTTGGTGCGTTTGCCCTCGAGCTACGTGTCGACAAAATCTCTATACGAGAGTACTTACGTATACACATGCATATACACACGTATATATATATATATATATATATATATATATACATAGGTGTGTACATAAGTACATCGACATGCGCTTAATGCGATCCCTTGGCTAGAAACGTTAGAGAGTGATATCACGCCTATACTTGAGACTAAGATAATCGCAGCTCCTGCGGCCTCCGATCTAACGTTCAACGAAAATAAATCGACCGTACGTGTAATTTGCTCGTCCGTTCTCACACCGCCACAAACGGGACACGATTTCTTCCTTTAAAATATCTCCTTAAGGCATCTAAGAGAAACTCAGAAATCTTTTTTCATGCTGAAACATGTTTGAAAAATCGCTACGATTATTATACCATTTGTTTCTTATCTCTTTTCTTTTTTTTCCTTTTTTATTTTAATCTACCAATCGTAAGTTCATAGTTCAATGTAAATATATATACTCGGCTTTAACAATTATTGATACAGATTATTTGATTTGCGTAACGTTTTATTCTAATAAGTATTTTATTCTAATAAGTATTCTAATAGTATCTTGTAAGCTTGAACAGAATCGTTGATCGACTAATCGGAATGCTTCGCAAGTATCTTTCATAAACAACTATCAAAATAATATTTTATAGCACGATACGAAGAACGAATTGCGAATATCTAAAAAATTTCTGTAAATGAAATATTTCATTAATTCGTTAACAATCAATACGCCAACGTCAATTACGATGAATACTCTTAATCAGGGTCATATAAGGAAAGTCTATGTATTCAAAAGACGACCCACGTATTCGTATTAATTCAAACTAATTGCTCTTTCAAAGAATGTAACGAGAACAAACGAATAGTTTATATTTTTAAATTATTTCTCGATCGATGAATAGAAGATTAACATGTTCGTCATTCTTCGAATTTAAGACTTTCTTTAATTTAAATTCGATCAATCACCGGATGTAAAAATTAATTAAAATATAATTTCTTTTTCCTGTGTAGGTTCAACCGGGGCAAAGCAAAACCGTTGCTTATAAACAGGTGTCTTATCAATATAACAAGAGCATCGATGGAAAACCAGTCGGTAAGCGATGTTCATTCTAATTTATCAAATATTACATTAGATCATAATTATTTTTAGTATCGAATAAACAATTTGTTTATACTTAACAATGGATTATCATTCGTGATAAATGTTCGTACAAAATAATTTAAGAAAAATATACATAGATCAACTTGATTCATCTTGAGCTTTGTGAGCGAACTCTAGAGTTCGGTAAGACTTCGATTCTTGGTATAAACTGGCCGTATGTGTCCGCGACGAATCATGTTGCGTGCGAGCGCGTTTTAAGCGATCGTAGAAGGAAGGGGAGGCCGGTCTCTCGTGTCGCTCCTTTTAAGGCGTGCAACGGCCTTGCAGGTATACGGTTAATTGACAATGAATACGATAAAACGAAAAAGATTCGACGTTTTAATACAATATAGACAGGTAAATCTTGATAATGTAAATCTTCGAAAAAAATTTCTTCTATCTTTTCGTAAATATTTTATCTCATTGATTGTCTCTTTAAAGAACAAAAAAGATAAAGAAAATAATGATGCGAATGTATGAATCATACGCAAACACTATGACGATAATTTTATTTAGAAATTTATACGAAATTTATTTAGAAATGTGCTACGAAGAAATCATTATAATGAGTCTTACAATTACATAAATGGTAATCACAAATATCACGAAATACGTGCAATATCTGTCTCAATTAGTTGTTTAGTTTTTATGTGAAATACAGATTGAAGATGGTGACAAAACAAAACATACCATTAAGTAGCGACACTTTTCACGGTGTTCGGTTAAATCGAGATAACTGGAGATCGCTGGCGTTTCCCTTGCAATAACGCGTACATGTATACGATACTCGAGCCTATCCATATTAGGATCGCGTATAGCTGAACGCTGACCCAATTTTTGCGTGGCTCCTTCTCCTCCTACTCCTCGTTTAAAAGAAAGAAGGAGAGAAAGATGACCGTGAGAGAGAAGTGGCCTGTTGAATTATGGAAGGTTACGCTTACCAAATAAGAATTTTATAAATCTTGATGTTTCGATTTCGAAGACGTTAATGTATTTTAAATTTGCAGACTCATGGGCAATGGCAGATAATGCGATGATGAATACTGCTACACCAATGATGTAAGTTTACACACTATGTCATTGAGGATAATGTTTTATAAAAATAAAGAAACAATATTACATGAAAATATTTCCAGTGATAATATCCATGAGACTACTTACGAAGAGAGCAAAACGCAAACAGGTCACCGTAGTCCTGAACCTACCGCTAAAAAGTCTACGGTTAATAGAGAACTAGTGAGTATTGTAATAAGATAAATAATCTATTCAGTAGTCATTTTATTTATAATATCTAACGTTAAACATTTCTGATATTTTAGGTATTCTCCGATAGTTCGGCATCTCGCTCCATGGAAACTTCACCTCCTCCAGGAACTCAATATCGAGATGTAAAATATGTACACGATTCATCTAGTACGTAAATCTTTAAGTATCATTATCCTTCTAATATTTAAAACGACAATAACACAATTTTTTTTCATAATAAAAAATACTGTATTAAGGACAATTAAATAATCAAAAGAAGTACTGGTAAGTGCACGTAGGACCTTTTTCCATTATTAAAGTACAAAAAAACCCGCAATAACAATCTAAAAGACATAAGAACTCAATTGACAATTTTCGTCATATAATTCTAAAAACTAAATTAGAAAAACTTAAACTACGGTCATGTTCATTCTTCAGCGCCATTTAATAATCTTGCCGTAAGTTTAAGTCAATAATCGTTTAATATCTCAGGTTACCAAACTGAATCACGTCCCACTCCAAGTACAGTGACTACCGTGCATACGAACACCGGCCAGGAATACGGAAACGTGGAATACGTCCCAGTACCGTCGCCAACTCCAGCGATACCGATCAATTTGGCACCCGGTCCCAACACGAAAGTAACAACAACTATAAAAACATACACCTATGAGTTACCAGGAGCACCAGAGACATATCTACCGGGTGGCACGTTGCCAGGAGGAGCCGTACTTCCCGGCGATCAGACTATTACCTATACTCTGCCCAGAACTGGTACTTCCACCACAGACAAAACGGTCACTTATCAAACTGTAACCGAGAATATACAAGGTGGACCAGGCGGACCAATCAAATACAGCAGTCAACCACCCATAGAAATGACGAAAAAATCAACGGCACTTCACAAAGAGACCAAATTTTATCGCGAAGACCATCATGGTTTGCCACCTTCGTCAGGTGGAACACTTCCACAAAATTATCATCCAAGTCCGCCACCCCAGACGAATATCGATTCCAGAACAACAGTCACTAGAAATGAGAAGTATTATCACGTAGATGGCAATTTTCCTAATGGACAACCACCGTCTGATAGACCAGATTATCCTGGTAACACTACTACCATCGTTTATCAAAATCAACCGCCTGTAATAAATGAAACTCACATGACGACGATAAATCGACTCGAGGAGCACTATCCAAGCAGACCACCTTCTGCTGGACGACATCCGACACCAGATAAACCAGGAACACCTACAAGAACAAATTACTATCCAGTACCTTCTCAAGGAACACCACCTGGTACCACTACTGTTTATAAATTCTCTAACACTACAACGACAGTACCTCCAAATAAAAATGCCGAAGATCATGAGGTACTTCTACCTAAGCCTTTCCCAACCCCAGGAGGAGTACAAGTTTATCCTGTTAATGCGAAACCTTCAGGACCAAACGATCAACAAGGACCACCGGCAAGACTCGAAGATCTTATGGCGTCGTTCTCCGATTCCGAGGTAACGTACAATCAAAATACATGATACCGATTGATGGGAACTTGTCCCTTCACACTATGATTAATATCAATCATTAATGATTGATCTATTATATTATTTATTATGTATGTTACATTTAAGCGTGAGGTATTGGAAGATATTGAGAAAAAAGAGAAAGAACAACAAAAGAAAGACTCACCAGCCGTAAAAAAAGAAGTTGATTTTCTGCCTCATACTCCGCCTAAGGTGAAGAGCAAGAACGTTGCTGGACCACCAGTATATTATCCTCCTGGTTCAGCTGAGTTTACTAAGAAAGAAGAATTTGGTGCAGCTATGTCACAATCTAGTGTAAGTATCATTTCACAATACTTTCAATTTTCAATTTTTTCAGCTATTCTAAGTATTTGCTTTTAATTTCTTAGGGAGGATGGCAGAAGGGAAGTGCAAAATACGAATATGAGGCGTCTAGCAAGAGTAAAAGTAAATCTTCCAGTGGGGCAGCGGTTGTACCTGTTTGCCTACCACTCTGTTGTGCCTTACCATGTGTCATTATGTAATTTAGTTGAAAAATAATTATATTGATAGGGTATGTTAACAAAACAAGAGAGATAATATTGTTATTTGCGTCTTCCACTATATGTCCAAATTTCAAGTCAAGGCTTTTTGGTACATAATTAAGTAGATTATATTTGTTCTTCTTGCCAATATTTTGAATATCTAATAATTTTAATATAAATAAAATACACTTGCTATTCTGTTTAATAAACAGTTAATCGATAGATTACATGATTATGCATATTAAGAAATCAAATTTAGTTCTCTTAATATACAAGTATACTTTCATGTGTCATTAGATAAGACGAAAAATTAGATAATCATAAACTATTTATTTCTATTTCCATTATATAAATACTTTCATTAATAATTATAAGTTTCTTATACTTTCTTACAATATCATATTTGATATAATAATATATAATATAGAAAGTATTTACTTTAGTGTATAATTGACCAATTTATTAGCTCCATGCTATATATGTGAAGATATTGTCATATGTTCATTGACTTTAATCTTTGTACAAATTACTTGCTTATAACAAGATTACATATGCTCTCTTTAATAGAAGTAATATATAGTACTATCTATATATAAAGAAATTAGAAATTATCTATATAAAAAATTAATCTACGATTATGTGCTACTTAAAACCATGCACATATGATTTGTATTATTGTAAAGCAATCATAAAGGACAAATAAATATATGGATTGACGTATAAGTGAAAAAATCATATCATAAAATAATCTTTGTGTGCTTAACTAATTTTTTCAATTTATATATTTTAAATTTATAGAATCTCATTAAATATTTCTAACAATTAGTATGTAAGAGACTCTTTAACCATAGTGCAATGCCGTGAATTATGGTGCTATAATAATTTTAGTATATTAATGTCATATATAAATCTAATAAGAATTGTGTATAGATGTAATGCTATATTACAACTATATTACATACATAAGTATATTGATAAGCATTGCAAAATAATAAAAATAATTACTACTCATTATTGTATATAAAAACTGTGCCATGTTTTGCATGCGTCATGTGTATAGTAATAATAAGTTGCATTTTAATAAATTACATGCTGTTTCTAAAATATAATTTGTTTACTATTTCTCTTATATTGTGATCATTTAAACTTTCAAACTTATAATTCAATATATTGAATTCTTATAATCAATGTATGTTAACATCACCTTGTAATATTTTTTACTCATTTTAATAAAAATATATAGCATATACAGTAGCTACACAAAATATGGTATCCTGCAAAAATGTTATATTTTAAATACTTCATAAGTAACTAATAAGATCTTGTTGTTCTCACATTTATAAAACTGTCGAAAGCATATGCATCTGCCTCTGCATCCCAAATACATCTTGTTCCCATTTTTATACCAGCGCCGTGTTGTTCCCCCAAGACTACATTTATGATATATTTGTAACGCTTAAATTTTAATTCTATAAAAAAAAAAAAGGAAACAAATGTTTACTTTTCTTTTATACCTATTAATAAACTTCAAAGAGTTCCTATTCCTCCAAAAAGTTCCTAAACTTCAAAGAGTACCTTTAATTTTTTCTTTAATCATGTCTGCTATATCTTTGGTCCATTGGACGGCATCCTGAGCATTGTATGTTTTTGTAGAGAGCTGATCAAACAATACATTGTGTATCACTTCTTTTGCGCTTAAAGGCTTAAACCTTGATAAAAAAAAAAAAAAAAAAAAACAACAAGATATAATAAATATATTACCTTTGAACGCAACTTTCTATATTTATGTAGAACATAAACATATGTAATTTCGATGACATAACCAAATTTCGAAAAATAACATTAATATATATTAAGAAGAAAAATATTATTTTATTAATAAAAATATAAACAGTAAATATATTACTTATCATAAAGATGCGGACGAATTCGATATACAGGTTCAGACACTTCACTGTTTTCGGCACCTAATATTTCCACTTCCAGGTTCTTTAGGTTTTCTGGAAAATCATTTGATCTTTCCGTCTTGTTCTTTTTCGGATGATCCTGATTTTCAATAATGTCAGCGTTTTCCATTTGCAAATGATAATTAATTAATATAAAAGAAATTACAAGCACTTTTCACACGTAGCACAAAATCGTAATACTGTGACTTGTTTATACCAATGATATGTTGTTATGACGACAAGCGGTGGCGCTGCTATCTCTACGCGTACTATTCAAATGGAAAAGAATGGACGAAAAATTAAAATAAATTACGAAAGTGCATAATTTTGTGATAATGCACATTTGGATTGTCAAGAATTTAATTTAGTATTTCATGATAATAAGTCTTTATTCCGAGTATATCTCTCACGTCATTAATTATAGCAACATACTGTCAGCAAAAATATATAGTTACAATAACATTTTGTTTCTCTTTTTATTATTCTTTCTATGTCATAGAAGTATCTTCTTAATCGTTTATCGTGGATCATATTACGTCAATGCATTGAACCCTTACAAACTAAACAATAGAGCAAGTTAATAAATGCCATCATTTATATGATTTTATACATTTAACGTAATATTTCTTAATCCGTTTCTTCGTAGTTTAACAACGAAGAATGGTTGGTAATGAAGCATAAGTCGTCAAGGTCTAAGAAATGAAAAGATATACATTTCGACCATTGAACGAAAAACAGGCAGTGAACGAGTACCAAACTATGTGGTCCGTTTCCACTATTGAAATAAAATCTCATGTATCTTTTATCTTTTCGCGTAGACCCTAACAAGGCTTACAATAAGAAACAGTAAAATTTTCATCGTCAATTATGCGGTATTGATGATTTTTGTAACTGGTAAAATCGATATCGCGCATTTCAGATACGTGGTCGAAAATCTTCTTTATGACAGGAGGAAAGCTCGGTATATTTGCAGCTGCTGCAATTTCGTCATAGTACGCCCATTGTCTTTCCTTGAGCTTTACGATATGCCTTAACTGTTGAAAGAAATATTCAACTTGAGAAAAAATATTTTAACTATTTTATATATGTATATAATACTAATATAATATATAAAATTTGCAAGATTTATTTTATACAAGTCTAGAGAAAACGCTCGATTAAAAACTAATAAAATACAATCTTACAGGAACCCCTTGTTGCAATAAAGCGTTCTTTTCCTTTACGAAATCTTCCAACATCTCTTCAGGAGAGGGTAACTTGATACGACCCTCCAAAATTTCTACAATATATTGCGCCTGAATGTGAAACATTGGAAAAGGAATAACGAGTCCGGGTATTCCCATGAAAAATAAATTAGGCATGGTAATGTGCACCAAATGTTTATAGATAGGTTCAACGTGATTATTATCCGTACGTATATCAACTTTAGATGACATAAAGGGATACGTGAATTTATAACCTGAACCAATAAAATTGATGTGAAAAAAAATTCGATGACAAAAAATGTATATTATAGTCGTAATGTATGTAATATTTCGGATTTTGTTACCAGTACAATATATGAAATTATCTATTTTGGCAGTAGTTCCATCAAGGAAAGTAAAAATATTTCCTTGAATAGATTCAATTCCTGGTTTTTGATCGATATTCTTTGCAAATTTCGAATCTATCGGATTTGGCAAGTTATGGCTTAAATAAACCTAACGAAGTAAAAGATAAGAATGCCTTATAAGAAAATTACTTTTATCGAAAATAAAAAAAGCCATTGTACCTGTTCAGCATATTGTGATACTTCAAGTGCAATATCGATCCCAGACCAAGACGCACCTAAGATGCATACCTTTTTTCCGCTGTAGGTTTCAGGGATTCGATATTGATGACTGTGGATACACGTACCATGAAAACTTTCGATTCCTGAAATATGCGGTATGTGGCCGACCGTATAATGACCATTGCATAAAACAACAACATCGAAAGTCTTAGTCCCCTCCAATTTGTTTTCTAAATCTTCATACTTGATAATCCAAATTGTTTGACCGTTCCTTAATGTTTCTGGTTCTACATATTTAACCACGGTATTCAACTAAAATTAAAAATCAATTACTGGACGTTAAAAAATAATTATAAAAATTAGAATTGATTTGCTGTTTTTTAAATTATTTAATAACATAAGTTATTGTCGTTTTTTGGTATTCGTATTTTTACAAGTACCTTTATATGGGAATAAAGATTAAAATGCTCCGCGTAATCCCACAAATACTGACGTATCACATTATGATTAACAAAGGATGGACCACTCGGATCTTTCATTGGAAAATCTGGTATCTGCATAATTTCCTTAGGAAGGTTCGTCCTATGTCAGAATTTTCAAATTTCTCTTATCAATCTCTTCTCTTTATTTCCTTATTTACATATCTCTTTTTTACTCTACAATCTTTATCGTCATAACTTTAACTCTATCTTCTGAAGGAAATGCGTACCCTCATGATTAAAGTAGCAATAAATCTTATCGTTCAGTTATGTATCTCTTATTTTCCGGAATAACTCGCCATAATCATCTCGTTAATAAATCGAAAAGTGTATCATATGTCAATAAAGTTTATCGCACTTTCTTTATAATCTTCAAAAAATTGTCACGAAATACATATATTTGTACATATAAGAATACGGGAACTTGTTAAAACAATTGCTTTAAAAAAAAAGAATAAAAATAATACTAATGAAGTAGATATTGTTTATACTTAAAAAAAAAAATTTTTACAAGAAAATATTACACAAAAAAGATATTCATAAATTGAAAAAACAAAATAATCTCACGAGAAAATGATATTTTTACATTTTTAAAACATTTGTTAATTGTTCATTTCTATAATTCAACAGAATATAAGTGTTTTTGTATAAGATACAAAATATGTATTTTATTAATGTTTATAAACTTTGTAAACATCAAATAGGATCTATCGAATGTTTTAGAATACACATACAACATACAAATACAAGAAATTAGAAGTGCATATATATATATATATATATATATATATATATATTGTATATATATTAGCGGTAGCTGAAAGAATAATCTTTAAACAATATAATAACCGATAAGATATTATTCAAAGCAAACCTGAGGTTCTTGTACATGCTGCTGTGGACTGGTAATCCATGCTTATCAATATCGGTCTCGTCAGTATAAACCCATGTTCCACCCACTTGATCGGTTTGCTCGAAAAGGGTAAGACTATAGGTGTCGGGTTTAGATGCTACGTGACGAGCCACGATCAAACCGGCAACACCACCGCCAACGATTGCGACTCTTGTTTTACTACTCGGCATGTTTTCTCCTACTGTGTATTTTATTAGCAATTATTCAAAAAAATATTTGAATAATATAGTATCGTGATAAAATTAAAACAAATGAAGAATTGTATAATTTCACATACACTTTGATTAGATTTTTCGTTGATGTCTTTATCTTTTATAATAAAAATTTCGTTATATATGGTACTTCTTCGAAGATTACAATCAGATCGAAAAATAATCGATTAAATAAATCTAAAATATCGGCGTTTTAAATATTATTTTATAATATTTTTATTTCACGTGTAACTGGAAAGTGTAACTCGTTACAGGAGAGTTTAAATATAACCCCACGAAGATTTAGGTAAAGGAATCTCACAATGATATATCGTTTTAAGCTGTGCTACACAGAGGCTAGTTAGCTCCGAACTGTTTCAAGCAAAGGCTGTATTAAGACTGTCCACACGAAAGTCAAATGCGTATTGCAATAATGTCTCGCTGGCCTCTCTACTTGCCCCTCCGATCAAAGGCTTATGTAAATGTGGAAAATATTTCTTTCTAGAAAGACGCGTTCATAATCGTAGTTGAGTAGCTTATTCTGACGAAATATTTAAATGCGTAAGATCATCAGTGAAGCCTAGTGTCAAAGGTATTATACAAATAAACGATACAAATAAACAACTCACTTAGGGAAGTGTGATATTTATGAATGAAATAAATTTTTTCTTCAGGTCAATAAATTTATGTAGATTTCTTCATCGATAATGTTATCTTCAATAAATTTATATATTTTATATTTTTTTCATACATATGTCGTAAGGTCAAAATCTTTTAATTTTATTAATCACGAATTTAATTCATTATTTTTTTTTTTTTTTGTTAATTAATGTACATTAATTTTTTAAAGAAATTCATTGTTTCATAAGAAAGTTTACATTTATATGACAAATTTCTTAATGAACGTACGATAGCAATAACACTTACACTTGCAATCGAACGTTCTCTTAAATTCTAAAGAAGGCAGTAATGTGTTGGCCAGTATTTTCTAATGCGGTGAGAGGAAACTGGCACCTTTTCCTTTCGACAGATTACGACAGAGAAAAGAAAATTGCTTCGGAATAACATATTTTTCTCTTCAATTGAGACTTTGATTATAATAAATACTTCCTGGTTAAAAGCGATATGAACTGTGAAACGATGCCAATTTAAAGAATCTCATAAACATGTCTCTTTTATTTTGCGTGAATAAACTAGCTTTACTTAAACTTAAAGATTTACTTAAAGATTTAGTTAAACTTAGTTTGCAATTATAACAATTACAATATTTCATTATACGCATGATTACATCACAAAGATTAGTTGTACGCATGATTGCATCATAAAGATTGTACGCATAATTTATAATTATATTGATATATACGTGTAATTCCAGTTAAAAGTTATATACATTTTTGTTTTTGTATTTCTTTCTTTCTCCTAACGTTTTTCTTATCGCTTCTAATTGTGTCTGAAAATTGCTCGGTTTTAGATTCATGACTATCGTGAAATTTATATTCAAGGCAACGAAACGGAAAAGTCCATTGCGAGGTTAGTCTCTGTCTATTTTCTTCTCTCTTTTTTTTATTTCGTTTTCTTTTACTAATTTTAGGAGTATCCTTCGTATACTCGAGGACATATCTACGTTTCTCCTCTTCATTATCATACGTTGTTATTTATCACGAGTTCCATATTAATCACGCGCGAGACAGTAATATAATAAATTGTAAAAATAGCGATTATATACATCTATAGGAAATATACATCTTATATACATCTACAGGAAATATATACTAGAATAGGGTTATTGTTCAAGAAAGAAAGACATCAACATTAACTTTTCTCGTTGCTCAATGAGCGTCGAGAAGACAAAACTATATATAGTATATTTCAGACAAGAATTATCTCATGAACGACGAAATATTGTCATTTTCTTCTATTTTGTAAATATGTGACCGAACTATCGTACATCATGTACTTTTTAATTCTTATTTTCATCTTATTATTTTTCTTGTCATTTTCATTCGACTCTACTCGAAACGAATCTCAGATGACGCAAAATTGCATAGGAAACATTGTTGTTTTCTTTACTTCATATTTTAAACTTTGTGAATTACTTCGTTTAAGCTTTGTCGATATACAAATCAAGATATACGTTTAAAACAAACAAGTTTCACGTTTATCACTTTAGACCATGCAATATGTATAACTAAGTAATAAGCACGAACGAAGTGAACGTCCTTCGTATTATGAACATTATCTATTAATTAAATAACATAAGTGATTATTATGTCTCAGAATAAACTCAAATATAGTGTAATCAAAACAAATCTTTGATATTGAACTTATTCTGTTAAAAAAATTACTTTGAAAACGTTAGAATATTAAATTATTGCGACACTCTCTATGACATGCTTATCTGCTATTACACAATATGATTAAGTAATACTAATAGTACTTGCATGAAAATTTTAAACACAAACCAATAATGCGGTAAAAGTGAAGAAATTTAAGTTAAATAAAAACTTATTTCAATCGTTTTGAATAATCCGTACCTATAAAATAAAATTTGAGAATTAATAATACGATGATTTACAGTTACTAAATATTCTATTATAAACTCTACGAGTACATACGAAATTTTATCAGTGCGACTGATAAATGTGTCTTTGACATACAGTATTTTTCTAACTTGTCTCTTCTTAAATATGTCTTTATCAAAATGTACATATTAACTTAAAAAGATGATATTCGAAAATACCATTATTATAATGTTCGTTGATAATCTTTATCAATTAAGTGCATCGTATTGTTTATTAACCCTAGTGTGTCGATGTAATAATTTTTTTCATTTTCTACATATTCTTAGGAATGCTAATAAAATTACTAATATTTAATCTATTCTTTCAATTATCCTGTAAAATAATGGAAAGTATATTATAATGTCCTCAAATCCGAAGAGATTTTCTCTAATCACATTTCGTTATCCATTACTTCATGTATTATAGTTTATAAAATATTGATGTAAAAACTTTTAACTTTCAGTATGAAAATAAACGACGTGTAGACTAGATTAAATTATGACAGATTTATCGCTTTTTCCAGTAGAAACTTAATACATAATAGTAAGATAAAAAAATTTAATTCGAGTATTAAAGATTTTTTTTTTCGAGCTCCAGACAATATCAACAGATATTAATTGATATGTAGAAAACCGATCCTTAACATTATATTCCTCAATCTTCGTGTTAATAAAAATCATTTTACTCTGATATAAACGAATAAATGATGTTCATAATTATGTATAATCATAATATATTATAATATGATTATGCATAAAAAGTGAATGAATATGTATAACCATCCACTTTTCTTTTTTTAAATTATCTATGTACTATAATAAAGACACGTTTATAAGAAACAAATTAATCTTGTATGTGGAATTTAATTATTACATTTGTTATTTAAATGTGGAAAAATGCCCATCTATCATTTTCATATCGCGTGTTATATTATCAGCAGCTTATTAAATTATTTGACAGTGGATACTTGCATTGTATTACTATTATATAATAAACTTTATATTGCACATAATATTGAAATTCTTGATTTCATATTGAATCTTTGTTTAAATAATGTATGATATAGTTATATGAATCTAATGCTAGAACTTTTTCTGACTTGATGATACACCATAGTCGATATCTATTGGTAGTCAATTATGTCTGAGAATTAATTTTTCTTATTTTGTTTATATCCATGATTGTTACTGATTTTGTTCGTTTACTCTTTTCGTTAACAAACTATAATATTTCGTTATCAATACTATTAATAAACTGTAATAAATTTAAAAATACCGAATTCGAGCTCGAGTTACGCATGAAGTTTTAATGCTATAATATACAAAGACGAAGTAACGAGCTTCATATGCTAATATGCGATAATTCTACTGGTGTTGCGCAGAAGAAAATAAAATGACGGGCTAGAGTTTGATTGGATATTTACTAACCACGTGACTTCAAATTTATCTCTGTACAATACGATTCAAAGTGGGGACATATGCTTTAAGAAATTAAATAAGTTACAAATATAATTCTTTTTCAATTAATTACACTGTGTATTAATTATTAATAAATATTGAAATAAATTAATATTTCAATCAATAACGATAACAAAAAAAAATTAATAACAAAGAAAATATGTGTAAATCAAACTAAATATTAAACATTTATAAATTTAATATACAATAAACATTGCTTTAAATCAAATATACAATACGCCATAATACTTTCCAATTTTCTTGTCAAAATATTAGAAATAAAAATCATGTTTATTTAAAATTTTTAAAAAATTAACGATGAATGTCTTAACCATCATATCTGACATTTTAATTATAATATATTACATTTATTAACTTAAATATTTAATATTTATTTTACAATTATCAATTATTTTACAATTTATCATTAAAATTTACAGATTTTCCAAAAGAGTAAAGATATCTCCTATCTGTAATGTTTTCATTGACTTCACTTCTATCTTCTAGAATAGAATTTTTTTGAAAATGAGAACGCAGAGATGTATTGTCTCAGGTGAAAATTATTATCGAGTCAAGAGAAATTTATTCCACAATGATAGAAATATGCGCGTTAGCCTTATCATTCGTGATTTCTTGGTGGCAGGAGAATCGCAGGAAGGATTTGTAGGGTCTGCTCGTGCTCGTATTTGAGAAGAACAGTCGGGCAGTGTTCGTCGTGACACTGGCTGATTAACATTCATTCACGGATAAGAAGACACGGAAACAAAAGGAGTTTTTTTACGAAAGGATTATAAGATTACGAGAGGATTATAAGATTATATAAAATCTTATCAGCTGCTTACCAATTATAATCTTATTTTTAAAAATTAACAACGTGAATGTATTATGTCTTTTGGTTCTACGAAACAAACAGATGTAATTGTTCGTAATGAAATAGTGAATTAAAGACAGTATTTTCTTCAGCGTTTAATTTGATTTCTACATAAAGTGAACTACATCATATTCCATCATTATCAAGAAATTTTTAATCAGAACGTTTAATCAGTTTCTCATATAAAAATGAGTGGCAGTAAGTAAAAATGAACATTTGTATCTTCGTGAAAAATGATCAAAATATTTTATATGTCTTATTTATAAATATATTTTAAGCAGTAGAATTATATATATATATATATATATATATATATATATATATATATAATTATATTAAATATATATATATATAAATTAGAATTATATATATAAATTAGAATTATATATATAAATTATTTATGTGTAACTTTATATATTACACTTTATATATTTTCTTTGTTATTAATTTTTTTGTTATCGTTATTGAAATATTTTCTGGCAGATCCAGATTTAAGTATAGTTAAGTATAGTTTTTATAATATTTATATTGTTTTTATAATGCTTGTTAGACTATTTATAATGTTTAAGAAATACAAAAAGTTTTATCATCATTATCGGCTTATTATCCGATAATACAAATTTTAACTTCTATGAGATAATTAAATTCATTATTTATGAATCAATTTTGAAATAGATGTCCATAAAAGTTTTTTTTCGCATTCAATGAATAGAAGTATAGACACTAGCAGAGACACTAAAAAAAATTAGATCGATTTTCTAAGAAGAAGAAAGTAATTATTACATTTTTCAAACTCAACAATAAATTTCACAAAGTATTATGAGAAACGTTAGGCTCATCTGATTTATGTACTGTAGTCTAGGGTACTTGCTTGATATCGCGTCAGTGTCTTTCAGTTTAATTCCGTCAATGGAATCATTGACATTCATCCTTGATTATACACATTATCCACTACCTTGGGGGCGAGTCCCTCTATATCAAAATTGTAAAATTCCATTGTCATTGCACAGGGAGAATGACCTACGACAATTTCTTGCTATTCTGGTAAAATTATTTTGGAAAAATAATAATAATAATTGAACCGTATTGATTATCATATTATTATTATTGTTAAAAAGAAAATAAAAACAATGAACCGTATGACAATTATTTATAATAACGTGAATACCTATACATTTGGTAACAAAAAATTTTTTTTTAGTTGTATTATTATTAATGAATAATTAATAACGCCGAGCAAATATTAAATCACAATTATTATAAAGACATTATTTGCGAATATTTGCATAAAGATAAAAATGTATCAATTTAAACTATTTTTATGTGTTATAAGTATCGATTCTCTATAAAATGATTTTACCTTTTAAAATAGAAAGAAGTTTTCGTTCTCGTTTAAAAGATTGGCAATTTTTCCTTCGTGCGAATATGTCCGATAGATTAATCTAATTAGATTGACAGAAAAATAAATTATCAAATAAAAGAAGCAGTTATCTCACGTTAATAAACCTTCATAATGCTATTAAGTATTAAAGAGAACTACCAATTGATACTGAATGAAACATAAAAAAAAAAAGACGTAGTAATCATTTGAATAATTAATAACACAATATTTTTCCAATATTATATTACAATATAGAGATATTAAACGACTTTTCTTTTTTCTTTGTTTAAGAAAAGGAATTCATTACATGCCGAGATATACTATGGTATTTCGTTTTTTGCGGATTTGCTATTAATTATATGTTAAGGATCAATCTGAATCTCACCATAGTGACTATGGTAATTCCACGACCGAAAACAGCCTCGTCCATTCAATGCAAGGAAGAAAATGTTGTCAATTTGTGGAAAAATACAACATTTAATGAAAGTATCGATACTTCCGTCGATATCGATGAACGAAGGCTGGCTTTCGAAAACGCAACAGTAATTAATTATTTATCTTAATGAATATTAACAATAAAAAGTTTCATAATAATTTCAATTGAATTTAAGTTTCTCAATAAAAATTGAATGTTTTTAAATATCTTTTATCTTTCACATCTTTTTATCTTTTTGTGTTCACTAGTATAACGATCTATTTGCTTGGAGCGAATATGATCAAGGGCTAGTATTAGGCGCTTATTATTGGCTTCACTGGCTCTCTCAGCTTCCTGGTGGTATTTTAGCAAGACGTTACGGTACAAAATTTGTATTTGGATGTGCCAATTTATTAACAGCTCTTTTAGGCTTTCTCATACCTTTTGCAACTCGATATCATCTGAACGCTCTCGTGTTTCTTCGAGTTCTTCAGGGTCTTGTTGCGGTGGGTTGAATTCTGGAGAGAAAATCTATATGTCTAAGGAAAGTTAATTAGAATGAAAACTTTTTAGGGTGTCGTTTGGCCTAGCATGCACGATATGACAGCAAAATGGATACCGTCGATTGAAAGAAGTAGATTTGTCAGTGCCTACTTAGGTAAAGATGGATATAAAATTAGATTGATTATTTGTTTTCAATATATTAAATTAGATTATTCGAAAATTAATCATATTTCTTTCCTACAGGTAGTTCTGTGGGAGCTGCTATCACGTATCCACTTTGCGCAACGGTTTCCAATGCCTTGGGATGGGATGCTGCGTTTTATGTCACTTCTGTTCTCGGAGTAATTTGGTAAGCATGAACAAATATGAAGTAATTGTACAAGAAAAGTAATATATTTCGTACGGAAAGCTTTGTGTATCAAAAATAAGTAATCCTTAGACTCATTATCTTTCTACCAAAATGAAAGAATATGAAAAAATAAAGTAGTTCATGTAAAAAGACTGATTCGAGTTCCTTCATTTAATATTTAAACAGTCTTTGCATAAGAAAAGTGCTGTAATATAAATATAAATTTTAATAAATAGACAAAAATTTTGTACCGAAAAATCGTAAATATTTAGTGAAGAAAATCTAATAAGTGCGAGAAAAATGTTATATGCATTAATAAGTTTCTTTATAGTAATTTTGTTTTTAATGAAGGTACTGCTTCTGGTTCTTTTTCGTGTACGATTCACCGCAAACACATCCACGTATCTCCGACGAAGAAAAAAATTACATACTCGAGAATATTTCGGGATCTGTCGATGATGAAGAAACGAAGGTACCTTGGAAGTCAATATTTATGTCAGGACCAGTATGGATTTCCGTTTTGGCTCAATGGGGTGGAGCTTGGGGTTTCCTCACCTTAATGACGCAAGCTCCTACATACTTTAATTTCATTCATGGATGGAATATTCACGCGGTAAGAAAACTCATTCAAACGGATCTAACGATATATACATATTCTTCTATAAACTTTAAAAAAGTTTTCCTACAATATTACAACGTTTTATTACTTTTCGTATTTGAACTTATTATAAAGGAAGGTTTTTAATTCTAACATTAAGAAAATATATTGAGTAAATAAACTTATTTATTAAAATAATTACAAACATTTGTAACTTTAATATATATATATATATATATAATTATAACATAGGTACTAGATACGTTAACAAAATTTCAATAATCAGTTTACATTTTCACAAAGTTTCCGTTTTAGGATCTTAGTCTTATTAAATAAATGACGTATTAGATTTATCATCAAGTATTTTGCTCGAACATAAAAACGTAACTGTCATTGTAGATCGTTATCTGTAATATAACATTCCGATGATATATGATGATCTTATATAATATTCATGTACATATTTGTCGTACGGATTAATGTAATAAAATGTACTTTCTTGGCATTGACATTTTGATAAATTTTAATTATTGTCTTTTCGATTTTAGGTCAAAGATATAATATATATAAAAAATAATCATTACAATCCATATATATATATATATATATATATATATATATATATATATATATACATATATAATTTTCAGACGGGTATTTTGTCCGGTGCACCTCATATTTTGAGAATGATATTTTCCTACTTCTATTCCATCATGAGCGACTGGCTTCTACGAACTGAAAGAATGAGTTTAACGAACGTAAGGAAATTAGCGACCTTTGTGTGCAATGGTTTACAAGGTGTATTTATAATCGCATTAGGCTATAGCGGTTGTCATCCTTATCTCGCTGTGATTTTTATGATGGCTGGTACAGCAGTGAATGGAGCAGTTTCAGCATCCACTTTAGCTAGTTTTGTTGATTTAAGTCCAAATTATGCAAGTATTCTGCTTGGATTTTGTGGAATGGTTGTAATTTGGGCAGGATTTATTTCACCTGTCATCGTTGGTATACTTACGAACAATAATGTGAGTACATATATATATATACATATATACCTTATATGTATCTCAACAAATTCTTTCATACAATACTTATCATCCTCTCTTAAAGAGCCAAGATCGTTGAACTTGTTTCTATATAATTATTTTTATTTTATTTGCTAAAGATATCGAACGATATCTTGGACACATATCTAAAATCAACGATCAATTAAAATAAATAATATTATCTTCTTAGCAAACTGCTGGTCAATGGCGTATCGTGTTCCTTATTGCTGGTGCCAATGCAATAGCTGGCTGTTTAATTTACATGTTTGGTGGAACATCCAAGGAGCAACCTTGGAACCAATATAAGAAACCAACAGAACAGAATAAAAATGAAATGCAGAATTTACAAATGAAAAAGAAAGAGATAATTAAATGTGAACAAGGAGTGGAAAGGATAAGTAAACCGGAAGAAGAAAAGTTATGTGTTGATAAGTGACCATCCGGTAAAATATTAATTTTCATCTGTATCTTCTTTAAAAAATAATATCGTAACTTTTTCCATAAAATTTGTAAGTCCTGTAAATACTGTATAGCGTAAAAGTAATATAATATCCATACTTCTACGAGATCGAATCAAACGAAAAATAAGATAAAAATCTAAAATTGCTTCTTAACTGATCATTAAACAAGAAAAAAATTGTCACATTTTAATTTTGACTCGTAAAACAGTTTATTTCACAAAACAGGAATGGTTCATGATACGAATGTGGTTGTACATCGAGAAGAATGTAGTATTAATAAAAATTCGTATGTTTGTATGCGCAGTGAGAATACGCAAATGCACTGTGACTAAAATTTATAGGATAATTGATAATTATCGATCTGTAATAGTTTTTATCAAAAAGGCGATACATATGATTATCGAAGGCGCATCGATACTTAGAATACTGTGTAATATAATTGTTCTCGATAAAGATATTTTTGTACGTTTCAATACGTATAAAAGTTCACCGTTTCGAATATATACGAATTTTGCAGAAGTATTAACGTCGATATTTTTTTTTTTTTAATAATATAAGAACCCGTTACTGAAAAATTCATACAATGTTAAAACTTCTGTAATAAGACATCTTTACCACAAATGAAAAGATTAAAATTTCCTTGATTTAAATTTAAAATATCTTTTGTATAATATGAATACCATTAAAAGAAAAAATTGTAAAATAGAAGAAATAGTAAAATATTATTAGATACTCAATAAATAATAAAAAGAAATCATTTATATGATAAAAATCTTATTACTAAACCTCACCCAGGAATTTCTTATTACTCTGTAATATTAAAATATTAACTTATTATATGTGAACGAATAAAGAAACACAATAGTGCGACTAGCGTTGAAAGCGCGTTATAAGAAAGAATGCAAATACACTGCGCAGTTGGAAACGCAAAGCTTTTTATATTATTCTTTGTCGTAAAAACTTACGCGGTTATAAATGCATGAAAGTAACTTCTACCAAAGCAATGAGAAACGCAAAACGTTTACAAGACCTTCTCATATTTTATAATATACCACTGTGTATCGCCATAATTGATTTTTATATGAATAAATATATATGTCAGACTTCCTATTAATGCAATAACGCAAGAAAAAGAAATATTTTAATCATAAAATTAAAGTTAGGCCATACATAGGAATCTTTCATCAGGTAAATCGAATTCATTACTCTATAATATATAACTCGTCTATATATATATATATTATATCATTCATATATATATATATACTATATCATTTTATATCATTATAATGTATAAGTTGATTCTCTCTTTCTCTCTCCTTCTCTCTCTCGCTATCTTTCTCTCCCTCTCTATAGCTCATAGAATTTGAATATTGTACTCCTACACAACAAGTGACTTTTCATCGTCTTTTCGGTCCACTTTTTTTACCCTTAGAAACATTGTTTCTATCATTTTGATATTGTGCCAGCGATAGATATAATAGATCGCTTTGTTTATCGGATACAATTTAAAGAGAAAGAAAATAACTTTTAATAATCAATAACGTTATGTCATGTTAATAAATAAATAAATAAATATGATAATCACTTATAAGTTAAAAGACTTTATAAATGATAAATACTTTCACTCTCGGTAATAAATCATGCGTATTTGTCTATTAAAATGTTTGACTTGCACTACTAACACAATAGATATTATATATATATATATATATATATATATATATATATATATATATATATATATATATATACACACCTAGTACTTTCCTACGTTTTATTCCCATTTGTATATAAGTGTAATCTTTGTATAGATATACAATATAATTTAGTTCTTACTTACTACCCTGTGCTTTAGAATATAAAGCATTAGCAATGCTAGGAAGTGTTGTAATGGAAGGATTCGATAAAGTTTGATCGGAATTGTTACTAAACGTTGGATGAAACGTATATGCTTTTGGAAAAAACGATATGTTCGTGTAATTCAAATTTTGTAATTTGTTCAAAGATAGTATTTTTTACTTCGTACGTATGAACACATTGGCACGCTTATCAATATTCTCGAAGTTCTTAAGAACACTCATCTGAGAAGACATCGATTTTATCCCCGATCGATTCTTTTTTCGACAATAGTAAATCAATATAAAAGTATCCATATATGTTAGGTAATCTTTAACACTCTTGCAGCTTCCTGAATAAAATGTGATCTTTTTAAAACATCAATATACTCTGGTAAATATGTAATGATCATAGATGTACCTAATATTGTAACGATTAATTTGATTGGATTTTGAGAAATATCGCCAAACGATGGCAACGTACTTTTTCTTTATAGCGACTATCACATCTAAACCTAGCTACGTTCATCGAGTAAATTCAAGTTGAGATTGATACCTATATTACGATGGAAAGTACGACAGCGAAAATACTCCGTGAAATAGTCGAGTTTTATTCTCGTTTCCTTTCAGTCCTAACATTTAATACTTTCTTCCTCTACGTTCTATTCATAAATCATGAAATCGATCTATTAAGAGTTTAATATTGAAAAGATATCCAAGGAACCACTTCTAAATGCAGATCTAACTTAGATAATCACTTTAGGTAAAAAGGATTCTATAATGTCGGACAGTAGCAATGGCACTGTTTCTATGAAATAATTAAAATCAATATCGGTATAAATTTGTTCGACGTTCACATTGATATAAACTTTTCGACTGACATGAACGGTACATTTTCGATCTATTGGCATGGGCATTCGCGCATAAGTAATAATGATAAACGAAGCTAAGTAGATAAAATTAATTGGAAAACTACAAGGAAGATCTCGTTTGTATAAGATCAACCGTTATTGTCAGTATAATTACCACGTTCGAATATCCCGAACGATATTTGTGCAGAAAAAGTTGTGATATAAAATCGAATTGGAAGTTGATTTCTTATCAGAAAAATGATATCTGAAAAAATGGCACTTTCCAGTAGAAACATTATCTCTTTGTAAAATACATAAAAAAATCATTTTGAAAGGCGATAATTACGCGTATCTTTCAATCGTTTTATTGCACGGTTGACCAGCAACCAAAAATGGTTTACGATCTCATTGTACCTATCGAACGTCTACGTCATATATTTTTTTATATCGGAAATCACCTCGTGTAAACCTATTATATCATAAAAAATCGACGAATAGAAACGGAAATAAAAGTAGAAAATGAAATTGCCGGTGGCCCGTTTATAACAATTTCTACGTATATAGTAAGATTTCTATATCCGTGAAAAATGACGAACAAAAGTATTCGCCGATTATTATGCACTTTGTGCCGATCAATTTTATAGTCAACGAAGTTACCTGACGTTCGATTATGAAAAGATTTGGTCCATATCGCATTTTAATGCGATACATGACGTATTAAGTAATTCGGGTAACGATCCACTTAAGGAACAGGAAAGCAATGAAGATTAAACATTGGTTGGTGGATCCATAGCGCAAATAACAGCTTTCATAACACTCGCAGCTGCCAAAGACGCATAAGGTTGCCACTCCTTGATACGAGAACCGTCCTTGTAATCGGAGATACCTCGTATCACTGCGAAATTCTCTCTACAATTTCCAAGGATACTTTCAACGACGGCGTCCATTTCAGCATCGAAAGCAAGAGCACCAAACCGAGTGGCAAATTTTTGCCTGAGTTGATCGTCTCGTGCAATTTGTCGACCCGAAGCGATTGGTGCTAAGTGGATTCGAGGACAACCCTCCATTCTAATGAACATTACGGAGACGACCATGATAGAACGATAAGAGAATCAGTTAAACGGAATAAAATCAATTTTATAAATGTACCTCTTGTTCGTCGTATCCTGAGGAGCAATAGGATGAGCAACTTCGATGACGTCTCTGTCTCCAATAGCCATGTACAATTTATCAGATTCAGGGGGTGGTGCTTTGAAATCGTGCTCCGCTTGATTACCTAAACTTTCTATACCTTCCTTCAGATACTCTTGCCAAGGAGGACTTATCTCGTTCTCCGACTTGAAGTAAATAATAAATATGAAATAATATATTTGTTATAACGTAAGAAGTATACGTTAATTGACTCACCTGTTGTTTAAGATTAACGGCTATCTCTTGAAGACCTAGATTAGGTGGACAGTATTCTTTGGTCTCGAAATGATAGTTACCATTTTCGTTCATCTTCGCACTCTCGCAGTATACGTATACATATTTTTTATTGATCAGAGTTGGGTGTGAAACAACCACATCGCCGAGCCTCACGTGCTTGTTGTAATCCGTATAATGCGGTACACCTCCGCCAACACCCACCAGGAACACGAAATCAACCTTTTGAAAAGTACCTGCGTGAAAAAAATAATATTTTTTTGAACCATATTCAAATATACTATTTTGACGACATTGCATATTCAATAATTTTACTATTACATTGAAAAGTTTCATTCTCTGCACATGATGTGTATATTAAATTAAGAATAGATCTACAGGGAGAATAAATGTTTACGCAAAGAGAACTTTATTTATCGTTCGTATAAGTTTATAACTAATATACCGTCTATTAATATATCGAACTAATATATCGAACTATTGAATATCCGCAGACTCATATATTTTATGTTTAAATCAGATGTTCAATGAAATGAATAGGGGAATATTTCATAAATGCAATTCAAAATGAAAAAAAAAGAAGTATAGATATATACTGAAGAATAATTAAGATACAATATGTCGAACGATTATTTTTATGTCCTCAAAATTCCAGTATTAACTAATAATTATTCCTACCTAATAGTCTAGTCGTAGTATTCCCTGCTGCGGTCATAGCTTCTCGAGTATGACCCACGGTTGGCAGTTTTGTGCAAACAATCCTATGAGCACCGATGTTACCCAATGTATACACGTTTGATTCTCCTAGAACAAATAATATTTACGCTTTAGATCACATAAATTCAACATGTTCGATTTTCAACTTGTGTATTATACAGGTGCATCGTGCCGCTATCAAAAAATTGATATTGGACCTATGTACGGTGTAGAGATCAAATTAATCAAAAAGTTATTCATTCCAAAATTATGCATTCATCATATTCGATGTCGTTATAATTGATATAACATTGTTGATTAGTGATCCGTGGATTTGCTATTGAATAAAAATTAATTTTTTCAAAAATAAATAAAAAATTTCATGTCAGTCATGTAAGTTCTAATAACGTACAATAAAATAAAACGAACTTTATTAAATATTAAAAATGAAAAAGATTAAAATATTATTTTCTATTACGTATAAATCAAACTTATTTAAAATATTATGAATAAAAATTAAATTGGACCGGTCTGTTCACATATCTCTGTTGCAGTTATACGTCAAGGAATATTCTTATATATAAGATGAAACAATATCACTTCTGGTAGAAAAAACTAATAACCGGTTATTCGACTGTAACCATATCTGTAATCTAACCGTAACCGTAAAGATATATTTTTAAAAATTGTATCGATTACAGCAATTGATGTTTTCTATCTCGATATATAAGGTCAAGTTTAATGATTCTTATAAATTTCATTCTAATACATTATATTTAATAATTGTAAAATAGGTAAATCGTTCTTCTAATTGCGTATGCAATTAGACAATAAAATTGCATTCTCTATTACTGAGTAATGCACACAAGATAAAATTCGAACTATATGGTAATAAACGCATACAACATAAAAAAATTCCATAAAGTGAACATTTCACAAAATGATATGACATATGCCATGCTAATATGAGTTGTGTATATAAAAATATAACGAATGATTTTCATGTAACAACCTTCTAAGTATTTAATTAATATAATTGAATAAACATAAAAGTTGGTGAGCAAATGAGATTAAAGTCTTGTTAACGTGGCACAAAAATTGTTGTATCGGATGAAGATAATTAATGGTAGTGTCTTATGTACGATCGTAGCACCGTGACCCTGCAGCGTTCCTTGGATACAAGCAGATGGCAAGCTATGAAGTGACATTACAAGTAACGTTGACAACAAAAAACTAGCTATGTTACAGACTACTTTACCAAAACGGCAAATCACGCGCGGTACTCCGTCTGTCATATCTGGCGATGTTGATGTACCTAAAGTTTCATGCATGGTGAAATAAATATATATGACATGTTTGGAGATTTTATATTCAATAAATTCTTTTTATATATATATATTACTGATCAATGAACTTTGTCCAAGTATTGCTAATTGTTTAAGATAATACACATGTATGTATAAGAAATAGATTAGAATAGAGTTACCACTGATATATTGTTTGTTGTACTCTAATTGTAAGCCACATAATGAAAGACTATTGACTTTCGCTATGTTCTATTAATACTAAAATGAAACATTGCTTCATTATTAGTATTATAAATGTAATTAATAAAATAAAATATTAAGTACTACATATGTCAGATGATCGTTTGAAAAAGCCATAAAATTACAATTTCGTATACACTTTATATAGTATACTCTTGAAAATAGATTATTATAAAATATTGAAAATACAGGGACTTACCTACAGTCGTGTATCGAACAAATGTTTCTTTATTTTCGATCATAGAATCTACTGCAAGCTTTTCGCAATACTGTGCCGTGATAATTGCTATTGTTGGCTGCTTAGAACTGGCTATTGTAGGCATTTGTTTAACAACCTATGTGAAACATGTTTATATAATATTTATAAATATTTTGGATAAATGTACATATATTTGGTATATTTTACCTGAACTTGAGTATCTTGATGTACTACTCTAGTGAAGGCTCCATGTTCCATTGCTTTTACAACACCTTTTTCCTGTAATTCCTTCATTTTGGCTTCAACTGCAGATACTTCCCAACCATGTTCTCTATAATATAAAATATTTTATAAGACTGAAAATTAAATATTTATTATTGGTTAATATTAAATTTGTTGCATCTTACTTTGCTATATCAATCACAGTAACTGGGTTTGGATAAGCAGATTCAATAAGTTCCAACACCTTTTCTATAGTGAGCTCCACTATTTGATCCATAACAGCTTCATCTGTAGATACTATTAACAAAAGTGATAAAGAAAGTAATCATATAATATAATACACATTATAAAACTTAAGAAATATTGAAGCTGTGCATCTGCATATAAAAAGTATTGCACAAAAACAAAGTGACTCTGAAATGAAAAATTAGTTTGCATAAATCTCTTCTTTTATGGTTATTTATAACAATTGTTAGATACACACAATTCTTGCAGAATAATGACATACTCTTTGTGTATATATTGAGAGTCATGCTTTAATGTTGTGAATACTCTTTGTGTATATGTTGTTCCCCATATATAGAATATAACATCTAGGTCAAGTAGACTAATTATATACCAGCATTTTCTATATATAAATTGATACACAATCTACAGAAAATAAACGAAATGCATCTAAAGATATGTACTGGTATTTTAAGATATAAATACTAGAAAATTTTTGATCATGATCTAAATTATTAATTGTTATATAAAGTAGTAAAAAGTGAATGTTGTTTCCTTTTTAGTAATATGTATTTAACCTAGAAAAGAGCATAATGCAAATTATAGAGAGCAATAAGTGTTAAGCCAATATTGTTATGGTTACCAGTCTGTTGTGCTGAGCAGAAAAATTGTATCTACTGGTCAATTCTATATAAGAAAACTATTTTATTCAATATAAAATTTAGCCTTAGTTTTATTAATACTTGCAAAAAATAGTTTCTGTAAAAAGTATTGACCAGAAGATATTCATTCATTATTTTCATCTACATTATGTGTATTAACTTGTGTCGTAACTAGAGGCCTGTGGATAAAAAATGAAACACAACAACAAAACATGACAAAAATGCAAAACTTTTGTCTTCTTCTCGAACCTGTTCTCCAAATAATTTTCTTAGACGAAGGAAGTGTGATGAGTAAGTAACCGGTGCGAGCTGTGAATAATAAGAGATGAAGTATAAAATGTAATAATAATACTTTACAATATATATACACACAATAAAGGTAAATAAAGTCTCCCTTAAATCATATCAATGGTACAGAACATAGGAAGCTTCAAGTCAAGTATGCATTTCCTCTGGTTTCTGCTTTAATGTGCACTTGAGACAGCTGCTCCAATATCGTTCAATAAGGAACTATCAAGTTCAACGAGGTTAATCAAATGAGAGATGAATCTCTTACCCATGTATGAATGATTTTTTTTTAAGGTAAAATAAGTAGTTCGAAAATGTTAGTTAGACTAACATTGAATGTTAGTCTAACTATGTTAGTTGTAAATCAATTATGATAATTGTACATTTGTTTTACTTGCATATACAAGTAGTTATGATTTATAAATTTTTACTTACATGGTCTAGTCGGAAGCGAAACTGGTTCTTCAAGTTGTTTCAGTTCAACTTCTAATTTTTTAATACTAGAGTACTTGTGTTGCATTAGTTTCATTATTTTTTTTATAAATCCCACATAATCTATTAAGTTTGTAAATAAACATTCCATGTTAATACAGTTAATATATAAAAATAAATAAACCAATTATGTTATTCTCTATATTTTTTACCTCTTGGAAATTCTTGTGGTGCAACCAGTTCTCTGAAAAATTCTTGTGCAACAGTGGGCTGTTCAGTTTCTGAACAAGTGTCGCAAAACCAAAAATCAAGTGTTCTAGACTCTTGTGTATGTTTCCCAGTTTGTGTACTTACTAAAAATACTCTAAATTGAAGACACAGATGAGGTGGTAATACTTCCCCATTTGTCACTGAAATTTAAATAAACATAACTATTATAAGATCCATTTGATAATCAAATAATCTATTCTAAAAGATCATGTAACTACCATTAATAGCTTGTTTATTGATAACTATTCCTTTGTGATCTCCACCAGCCACATGTACATTATCATTTCCATTTTCTGTGGGAGGTTCTAAAGCCTGTCTTTCTATAATCAAAGTTGTTGAATTTCCAGTTTTGCATTTTGGTGTCATTACAATATGCTCTGTTTAAACAAAAGAAAGAAAAATTCAAATTTATTTTATTTTTTATTTAGACATAATAACAAATTATTTTGATATTTATTACAAAGATTAAAAAATTGATAAAAACGATAAAAAAGAAAAAATAAAGTCATCATCGTGTATTTTTTCAAAATGTGTATCATCGATTCTTTACTCTGTTCTTGATAAAAAATGGAGCAGGTTGCCCTGCTTTTATTCAGCTTTTACTCAGTGTGCAATCTGTGCACTTTAAAAATCGAAAAGTGCATCACCTTTTTTCATCTCGTACTCACCAATTCTTTTGTCGTCCATATTTGCTCTCTTCTTTCGTATCTTTATTTTCGAAATTGTAAAATGATTTTCTGAACAAATCAGAAAGATAGCAAAAGTGAAATGTGTTCACTTCGAAAAAATTGATAAGATCCTTCTACGTACTACCTGCTCAATCGAGAGCCGAATGATTACTGACTGCTCGCAACCTTTTTGCGACTTTTTTTATATTCTACTTCTCAACGCAGCTGAGCAGTTGCGCTTGTCAAGATGAAATGTCGACATAACCTCTCTCTCTCTCTCTCTCTCTATCTCTTCTAATAACTCGCTATGGTAACCGCACAAAATTTTTTAGGTATCATCAATATGAAAGTATAATAGTCTTATATTAAAATCTATATTAAGGTTAAAAACGGTACTGATATCTATAATTTATATTGACTTATGTATACACTTTAGGTTACGTTTTTTGAAAACTTGATATGATAAAATTTTCAATTTTCTTATAATAACATTTCAGTAAATGAAACATTGTATCATATAATTAAAGAACTACTGATCCAAATAATGACACATGTCACCGCCCAACGCCATATTTTTATTTAAATCTGATCATTCGCTCATGGTGCCCCACTTACGTCATTTCTTAGATGCACCACATGATGAATCGTTATTACGTCATCGATATATACGAATACGTGATACACGAGACTATCGTTTCATAGTAATAATATACACTTATCATAAATTATTTTTATTTCACTGATGGCTATTATCAAATAAGAGACAATAGTTAATCTGCCACTGAAAATAAAGGCGTTTTAAAGGATTGCAAATATAAAATTGATCATATAAACATTCGCAAAAGTTATTACAGTTATTATATTTCATACATATGTGACACTGTCTAAGAAATACTATGCGAGTAAGATAGATACATTTGATTATCGATAAAATGAAGCAATCAATGAACATGATATAAAAATGAATTGGTATATTAGAAAATGAAGATGTTCTTAATTATTTATTGTGCTATATATATTACCACATAGATTCATTTGTTGCTCTAAACCATGACTTAATTCCAAAATTATATGCAAATTCAAAAATATTGACAACCGCTAATGAAACACATTATTTTACAATTATACAATATAATAGAATTCATATGACGTCCTTAATACTGAACGCTTATTTAAAATATGATCAATCATACATCTTGTCTTATTTACAAGTAAATTTGATTAATTCACTGCATAAGGTCGCTGTTCCTGATTAATATCTATTAATGCTATTTTTTGAATATTAGAAATAATTATAAAATGATGCGACAGTATATAGTCCATTATCCTGAAAAAATATTGATTATAAGTTATCGAGTATAAGTACAAAGTCCATTTGAAAGAATAAACATAAATCTAATTTCATGTGGAGCATTTATGTGGCTAACGTCTGTGGCTTAACCTTGTATTTTGCATCTTCGAGCAATGTACAAAATTTATACATATAAATTAATATTATATAAGAGAAAATATAAGAAAGATGTAACATGGGCATGATAAAGCAGATAAAAGTATGAAAAATCTATGCAAAAAAAAATTATATAAATAAGGTTACTATAAGGATAAATTACATATGCCTTAGAAAAAGGAATTAGATTTAACTAAGTAATCGAGGTATCCTTGGAAAATTATCCTGTTATAATCTAATATAACATTGAAAAGCAAATAAAACAAATGAACAAAAATTCAGAAACAAATGTTAAAATTGCATTTTCTTGCACTATATTCTGTGAACAAGGACCAATCTTAAAGTTATAGTAATGATATGAACACTTATTATTAAAATGAAATCATTTAACTTTAGTTATAATTGAATTAATTCAATTTAGTTAAATAAATGAATAGATATATTCGTAAAAATTATGTTTTAGTGTACAAGATCGCATCGTTGCGGAGAACGACTTTTGTAAAGAAATTTTTTTTTATAAGAATAATAGCGTAATGAGTATCATTTGTTTTTTTAACAATATGTATATCCTTGATAAAATTTTATACCTGCGTTTTAATAAGTATTCTATATTATCTTGACTTTAAGGTAAGCTAGACCCATATCTTATAATCATGATTCTCTAAGTAGCACAAAATCTTTATCTAAGCGGACACGATGAAATAGAGGTTAAAGATGTTAATGAAGAAGGTCCGGAACTAAGATTGAGCCTGTCTAACTCCTCGTCCGCTTTGTTATTCTTTAAATCTTGTTGTGTATACAAGAACTTATTCCATTCATCGCTTCTCGGATATGCCAAATGCTGTGATCAAATATAGTAAGTAGTATTACAGTAAATATAGTAATAGTAATTAATTATAAACGTATTGATTTTATCGAAATTATATATAAAATTTAACTCTTACCTCTGCAACATCGTAAACCCAAATTTTACCAGTGTCATCTCCGACCGTGACATGTAAACCACTCGGTGTCCAAGAAACTCTATTCAATGCGGGATTTCCGTCGACGATGACACTAGCAGCTGGTACTTCAGTGTCCTGATTTAAATTCCAAAGATCTAATCTACCTGAATCATCAACAGCTGCAAATAATGCAGGATGAGTTGGTGACCATGCAACATCGTACACATAATCTCCGTTATGCTCGAAAGAATAAAGAGGTTTCATTTCTTTAAGACTCCACAATTTGATGGTCCAATCGATAGAAGATGTTAAAAATAAATGAGAGAAGTCAATTCCACCTTGAACGGCATGTGTACTGATACCAGTCACTGGTCCCTGATGACCTTCAAACATCTCAACTACACCAGCTTTTGTGCCATGTCGGCAGTCTGTATAAAAGAAAAAAAACGAAAACAAAAATACCTTTAACTTTATTCAGAAGAATTCACTATTCAAACATGGAATCTATTGAAAAGTATGGAAAATTTACCGCCATATACGGTTCCATCTTCGCTACCAACAACAAAATTATTCACATCACCATGAGGAAAAGCCAAACAAGTAGCCGCTATTGTCTTAGACTGTTTCAAGTATAGGATCAACGTTTCCTGTGGTTGAGACAACATGTCTAAACTCCAAGAACATAGTTTACCATCCGTCGAAATGCTGATCAAATTATGTGCGTTTTGCGTTCCAACAACAGTTAAGCAATACACAGGATGCTGGAAGAAATCGATGATTGTTCTCGTAATTGAGAAATATAAAAGAATAGATATGAACAGAAATACGAATTGTAATAATACAAAATCATAGGATGAGCAATTGCAATATCTTTTCACAATGGGAACACGTAACGGGATTCTATATTATCTGTAACGGAACATAATCAAGGAACATGTCAACGGACAAATACATTTGTCCGATACGGACAAACGTATCGTTTTCGATCGATAACCACTTTATAATTATCTTGATTGTTCCTATATATCTTAAATTCGATTGAATAATAAAAGATAGAATAACTTACGGTATGAGCGCTAGCTGACAAAGGCGTTCTTTGTACTGGCGTTCTCTTCTGTACGCGATTATCCCAGAGTACTATTTGACCGGAATAAGTACCACCCAAAATCAAATTTGGATGAAATTTCGCAAAAGTGGTTGACATTACCGGTGATTGACAATGGAAGATAAATTCTGGAGTGGATTTCTTAAATTTCGTGTTCCAAACCAAACATACACCATCGGGATCGTTCGGGGTATCGTCATTGTTGTTGTATGAGGCCGCAAGAAGTTCTGGAAACTGTGGGGACCAATCCATCGAAGTGACGCAACGATTACGAGACCATCGTTCGCAGAAGAAGGAACGATTTAACCATAATTGTTGATGGCTCTTTTCGTCCCTATGAAAATTTTCGATTGATAATATATATATATAATATATAGATACACACACACAGGAGAGGGGGAGGGAGAGAAAGAGTTTGAGTGAGCTAAGAAAATTATCATCTACTTCCTTACAATCCATCCTCGCCATCCATTGTGCCGGTATAATCGGTATAAATGTCGATCGATTCACCCAATGCTCTCTCCACAATCCTACTAGTACGATCGAGGAATCGTTGAAAGTCCTCCGAGAGTATGATCATCTGCTTTTCTTCCTCGCTGAACTCGCGAACTGTTTTAAAATTTGTGTTCATCACATAAAGAAGATATAGGACGAGTATCATTCGTTTATATTTTGGCAAAATGAATTGAAAAAAGTACAACCTGAACGTACCTTCTTTCTTAGGTTTTTCTTTCTCCTTTTCTTGTTCTACCTGTGTAACAGCAGGCTGAACCTCTTTAACCTGCGGCAAACCATGTGGAAGAATTCCAGGTGGAAGCTTGCTTTGGAAGCTGTCCAAGTGTGGCAAGCTGTTCTCTTCATCTTCGGCTTGGGAATCATCAAATGTCAAAACTGTGGTGAATAAGCTGATTCCGCCACGTATATCCTAACTTCGATGGTTTCTATCTAGCTACCACTAACGTAACGGCTTGATATACTTTTTAAAACACAAATCTATCATTTATAATGTGTTATTACTTGACAACAAATTGATAACGAACTTCTTAGGGATCAAACAAAATATACTTGGACTTTTTATGCAAATCTATAATTTCTATAGTACGGTCATACTACGGTAACGACTTACATGCGCGAAGACGTAACTAGGGAAAGATCGAAAGGATCGAACAATACGTTTCACGCAACTATTTTATATTTACAAATTTGTCACGTATGCTGTCGAATATACCATGCAAGGATTTATTTATTCATGACAAATAGGACAACGTTAAAAGGCTATTCGATATTTGCAAATCGTCGGAAGGATCGCTTCTCTTTTGTACAACATCTTAAAAAGAAATACCAAAGCGTTCAGTGAATGCCGAACTGACAAAATTTGCTATGCTGCACGAAATTAAATGAAAGAAAAGAGCATAAAAATGAAAGTAAAATTCAAATGGCATGCAGAGAAATCAAGTATGTTTGAAAGAAAGAGAGAAAAAAGTTTATCGGAGAACATCCTCGCGTGAACATCTGTTCATCACGATTTGTGAATTCAAAAAATAAATATTCTCCTTTTATTTTTTGCAACTTTCTTGTTACAATGTCTCTCCACCCTTCGTCAACATGCAATGTCATCAATGTGAAGTTCGAGGCAACAATGTTAGATTGCACGTAACGTTAAATGATATGTTGATTAATAATTAATTATGTCGCTCTTATATATGTTTTATAGGCAATAAACAATGCTGTTCTTTTGAAAAAATATTTGAAAAGGAGAAAAGGATGCAGAATACGTAGTTTATTTTCGAAATATTTTGAAGAAAATTATTATGTCGAATGCCAAATAAGTTTCGAACATATCGTAAGATACAAACGTAAGAGTCGAACGTATTTATTAACGCAACTTCCTAAGCCTCATGCAGCATCAATGAAATATATATTTTCTACATTAGAAAACATTTTAATCTTCGATGATAGTAAAATATAAATTAGTTGATGCGAATTAGCTAATTGGAATATTTTATTTGAAACGGTGGTTCTATAGTTCTAATTAATTAATTATTAACTATACTCTAATTAGTTAATAATTCTAATTAATTAATAATACTGAAAATAATGATAACACATGCATTGTTATAACGAAAAGGACCACTGTTTTTAACGGATGAACTATTCTCTGAATGTGCTGAGAATGAGAAAAATCAATCGAAAGAAATAAACTCTTAATCCAATTAAAATCGTAACTAAAATGATATAATCACTATCTATATATATATGTGCATGCGTGATACATAAAAAGCGAATTTGGCTGTGTTTAATCATAGAAGTCAACGACAGTTATTTAATAATACAACTCATCAAGCAATTTTAAGTAGTACTAGCAGCGATTCCCTCCTTTATTTTTGTTTTGGTGCACATGAGGCAAAGATGATAAATCTTTTATGTCAAAATAAGAAAAAGATTGCGTGAAAAATTATTTTTCTATGTAACTTTATGAAAGTAAATAAATAAAAGTAGTCGACATTTATTGGTGATTAAATTAGGTAGTGTTAATCATCTTTAGAGAGGATTACCTACCTGTAAATTCGTCCTCCCATTCTAAACCTGGATTTAGATTGTACTCGTCTTGAAGGAGGGAAAAGAAAACGTCAATCAATTTCGTATCTTATTTTGAATATTGTTTGTAGATATGTATTTTTATTCATGTCTTTGATAGAAAATCATTGATGCGAGTTAGAAAAATAATTTTATTATACGGGAATATATCACTATATATTCCCGTTATAGAAAAGCTCATGATTTATAATATTTAAAAACGCATCAATGATTTGTCTAGAAAGATAAGACGATCGAATTTGATGAGTCAGCATTAACATATCTATCACATGCACATACTGCTCCGTTATCGAAACTATTGTTTCTTCTGCATAATTCGTATTAAAAAATGTTAAAAATATCAATAAGCATGATTTGAGTACAATTTAATAGTTATATCACTCCAAGTAAAATGACATTCGAATCTTTAGATATGAAATTGAAACGAAAATTTATTAAAGCTGCTACAAAATTTTGATAATTGATACCCTTATACCGCTTTTGTTGTGTGTATGTATATATATATATATATATATATATATATATATATATATATATATATGTATATATATAACCCAAAAATGTTCGTAATGCTTTTGTATTATGCAGAGAATCCGCTGAACACGTTTATTCTTCTCGAGGAAATGGGATACTATTAAATTAATATCGTATAAACTCAGTATCTGCGAATTCTGGAAAGGACTGCAAGAAGCTTTCATAGCAACAAAAATTAAGGCAAGCGAGGATTCATAAATGTCAAACAACATTTTAATGTAAAATACTGACATCTCCGACTACTGATTGAAATCATGATAATGTTGGATAATCGTTCGAATATCGATATTAAAGAATATTTTCCGAATAATGTTCACATTTGAATAAATACGTCCGAAAGTATGAGTTGAAAAAAAAAAAAAAAAAAAAAAAAAAGAAATCGATCCGAATCATCCGTAGTCCCTTAACGCGAAAATTCACTTATTAATTTTGTTGCTACGTCGTCTTCGCAAGACCGTAAATGTTAAAGAAAAAGCGGTATTTTACGACATTAATAATGGATTTCTTAATCTATTTCTTTAAGCAACATTAATTAGACTGCTGCATCGCTAAAAAGCTTAAGCCACAGAATTGTATCGAGTGGATATAAATGTCCAGTGTATTGTGTTAATCGTTTCGTTAAAATGGGTTTGTACTTATGGGAGGTGAAAAGTGAAAGTTAATCGTAAGGTCTAACGAAACCTCAACCGTACTAGATCCATTCCCGTGTTAGTCAGTTTAGTCCAAAGCCAAAAAAAACCGACCGAGATAAATAATAGCGCGCCGAGAACTCTGGAAGGTGCGTTAAGTTGTGACAAGATTTGCCAATGGATATTCACTTTGTACAAAACTTTATAAAATCTCTGATAATTGCACATATCAAATGCGTGAATTTTAAATAGTAAAATCAAAATTAATGATCCATCATGTATATAAAATATAGTTTTCAAATAATATTTCATTTAGATTAAAAAATATTGTTCTATTCACATTAGGTATTAAGATTTTTTTATCTCGGTATACCTGCAAATATGATGTAATATCTTGATTCAACTCGATTCAGATACTGGTCTAGGAGTTGTAATATTTCAAAAATTCAAATTAATGTTTATAGATCCATCCAATCATAATAAATATTATATTGCTTGAGAGTCGGGATGTCAGATAATTATTCGAAAAGTAATACCTGGAAATATATTCAACAAAAATATATATGCATCCAATTAAATAAAAAAAAAAAAAAAAAAGAAAAAATAAATAAATTTAAAAAAAAAAAAAAAAACAGAGAAAGAAACTAACAATATACAAAAGCGTTCCATAAGAGAGCGGAGATCTTTGAGGGTCTGGGTGGAGAGTTGCCTTGCTAGTCTATCTCAATTTTCATTTTATTCAAGACATGATGTATCGCATCATATTCAAGATTTTTATCCTGTGATTGAAAAATGAAATAAGAAAGGAAATATGATAGAATAAGAGAAAGAGAGATAGAGAAAGAGAAGAGATAACAGAGAAATGGGAAAGAGAGCGTATTCTCCATAATATTTTTTATCTTACATTACTATTATATATTTCTGCGTTTTTATAATAATAATAAATATATGAATTTTTGTTGAAAGATCTTACCTTAGAAAAGATATATCTTTAACAAGACTAATTTTGTGCTAATTCATTAAATATTTAACGATAACCCGTACTATTTATAACTATCATCTAACTAAAATTGAAAATATTCGATTCACTTATGCCAATCGTTTTACGTATATAATTTATCTTTGTAAATAATGAACTGAGTGAAGCTAAACCTACATCTGAACCTAAGCTCACTGAAAACCAAGAGAAATCATAACTTACCGTAATAGTCGAATGCATGAGCTGAGAAGGGAAGGTAAAAAATAGTACTTAGTTACGGTTTTTTAAGAATGCACTATGCTAATTAAATACCTCTCTACACTCAGATCAATTAGCGTTTCAAAATTAAACAATTCACAAATCATATCTTGTGAAACCAAAGAGATCGGAATATACTATGCAAATTCCTAAATTTAGAATAGGACTAATATAGATATTGCTTGAAATGTGTTTTTTCGTGCTGTAACGCTATTGTGTCGAAGTAACGAAATTATACTTGTTAAAAGCATTTTTTTTTCGCATCGTGAAATATGAATTGTTATATCAGAACAACTTTATATATAATTTTGTTATTGCAGACAACAATTATCGTTACAGCTACTATTAAGTGAAAAGTCTAGAAAGAAAAAATAATAACGAAACGTTCAAAAGGACATCCTAAGTAACGCTGAATGTAGTTAGGTGGTTATAATTTGTAAACTTTTTTACTGTGCTATTTTTGATTCCTACGAGTAAGAGGAAACATACATATTCAATATATCCGAATGCATAACTACGTTTTTGTTAACGATTTACTATTTTATCGTATTCGAAGCGTTTCTTTTAGACCCGCTACAATTTTTTAAAGATTAATGAAACTTCTCACGAATTTCTGAGTTCTATCTTATGGATAACAAATTTCGCGTTTAAGCACGACTCAATAATCGTTTGTATATTAATAAGCATCTTAAGCCAGATTCATACTTGCGTGCAGCGCAAGCACAGGTGACCATCTCCGAGTAAATATTGCATAAAATAAGATATACAAATTTTACATCACCATGCGTAATGCCGTAATTAAAACATGAAAAAAAAAAGAACACAAATACGAGAACAGTTTTTTTATGGAACTTTCCGCCGCTTTTACAAATATGAATTGGCCTTTTCAATATCTCACTTACATCCCTTGTCACACTTGCGCTCACCCCCCAAGTTTCTCCGATAAATTCATTAAATATATTTTTATGAATATTTTTAAATACTTGTTGCGACTCTAGTTACGAATTAAGTAAGCGGGATATATGGTGAACATTATAACACGGCAATGTAAATAGCCACTATTAATTATAACCTAAATAAAAGAGATTTTGTAAACGTCCAAATATGTATCACTAATGTTTCGTGCTTTGAAGGTCATTTAAAGTTTCCCATGTTGATAAATAAATGCATAATTATCTCCGAGCTGGTTAAATCGATACACTCGTATCGAGATAACGATTTTATCGCGACGTATGTTTTCACAACAAACAACTTCGTTTAAAGTTAATGTATCATGTAAAACTATAATATCTGTTAGTATATTATTAAACTAAACTATTTCAAGCATGTGATAGAAGCTTTTTTGTATGCAAGCGACTCATGATCTGTACGTGGAAATATTGTTTATAATGCATATAATTTTTTAAATCTAAATTATCTATCATAAAGCTATATATCAGAATAAAAAAAAAATAAATAAAATAAAAAAAATTAACCATCTTGTCTCGAATTCCCATGTACAGTTTTGACAATATATTTAGGGTTGTAGAATCGATAGGATTTGAAAATAATGTATATGTTCTTTGTGGTATCTATAAATATAAAGACAAATTTAAAGTACGTTTGAATATATAAATAAAATAATGATATGTAATCGTGATAATCAGCAGAGCAGTGTTCAAAGCACAAAGCACACATAAACTTGACTCTACATCCCTTCTCTTATAACGCGGACAGCGACATATCTACCTCTATAATATATCGTTGTACAACAATTATGGAAGGGTATTAAAAAAGTAGACAGAACATACATAGGTAGTTTGGTGCAGACCCACCTTTCCTGGGACGCCACCAGTCAGTCTCAAAGTAGCCTGCGGAGCAAGAGTGAGTTGGTGTTGTTGTTGAACAGGAGGAGTAGATGGTGTATTCGGAAGAAGATTTGGACAGTCCTTGTGTCCAATATGGGTTGATTTGACCAATTGTGTCGCAAAGACAAGGGAATGCGCGTTTAATAATGCCGCAAGATCAGTTAGATTAAACAACGCACATGAGCGATGTGAAATTTTAGATACGTTTTTCGAAAAAGCTGCCAAAATTAAAAATTGTTCTTTATATCTATAGAAATTTTTATGTATCTCAAAATTTTGTGAATATAACTTGTACCATCACAGTAAAGTAGGTGGTATAAAAACGTGCCAAGTATTTAGATTATTTATATTAAAATAATTTTTTTTTCGTAATATAATAAATTAATAATAATTAAACATAGAACACAAATGTGCGGGCTAACTGAATTTGCGGTATAACAAACAAACAAAATTAGGAAAGAGGACCTCCACCACCAGAAGTACCATATCAATCATACCCTGATCTATTGTTAGCTAAACTATTATACCCATTATGTTCACCAATTATTTGTTACACATATAACCTAATGATCTGTACAAATTATTAAGATCCTGTATTATTGTAATAGGCTTAAATGCAAAGAAATCTCTCAATTTTTATTTATTATTCAATATTTCAATTACGGAGTTTAATGTTATTTATATATAACATTTGTTTTCATTTGGTATTATTTCAAAAAATGCTGCAAGATTTTTTATCTCTGTTAAAAACTATTAAAAAGAGTGAATAAAAATTTGTTAAAGTAAGATAAAAATGTATCATATTATATTTTTTTTAATAGATTAGTTTTATGTTATACATAAAAACACATTTATGAATATGTAAGTTTCCTCGCAAGTTAAAGATAATTAAGTAAACATAATATAAAATAAGTAAACTAAATCTTAATATTATCACAATAAAAAGAAAATAAAAAGACAAATTGTATCAACACGATTAATCACATTATATATTCCATTAACTATTGAAAATCTGTTAATGCTTATATGGTTGAATTTGTTAGGACATATTATACCAAAGGTAGTTATTTTGGATATAACATATCTTCATACACCACCCACTTTACCATATTACATAAATTTATATATGAATATTTGTAATGTATCAAATACTAAAAACACATATTTCACTAAGTTATCACGAATACTATATGCGTATTTAATCAATAGTAATTATTTTATAATAATTTTACTTTTACATTACTTTTAAATAAAAAAATTAATTTTCAATTTAATTTTTCTTTAATATCCTAACAAAATAGTGATGTATTTCAGTCTTACCATATGATAATATTACCGTTCTTAAAAAATGTTTTGTGTTGTCTATGAACTAATATCTTTCATAAAGTATGAGTGAAACATAAAACATAGTGCATAAAATAAATAGATTAAGAAACCTGGACTCACCGTCGTGAGATGTATGCGTTGTTTGAACTGTTTGAGTTTGTTTACTATAGACAACAGGCTCCTTTGGTGGAATATTGGTATTAGCAACAGAAACAATGGTCAGTTCTCTTGGTTTCCTTCGCCCAGTACTATATATACCAAAAAAATCAATATAATGTAACATTTAATTCATAATATCTATTATAGATTTATATTAATATAAATACCTCTGTGTTGAATTTATGCTAGATGGCTGTAAACTTGCATCTGGCGTAGCATTAGCACTTTGCTCTGGTGTCAAAGAATTCATGCTAGATAAACTGGACAATACGTCTGCAAATAATGAACATTTTTAGAATTCTTAGTTGACTAATATATATTATGATAATTTTTAGTTCTATACTTAGATATTTCAGTACTTAATTTCTAGTAAAACATTCTATGTACCTGATACTGGTGCCATTCCCAAAGAAGAAAGCATGGCATCAATTTCTTTACGATGATCTTTGTCAGCACCTGCTGCACGTACCGTAGCTTCTTCAACCTATTATAGAAAATTCATGGTAAGAATATACAAGTATTTTTAAATTTAAAGCACTTTAAAATAAACACATATAATGCAACTATCACTATCATATATAATCTTACATCTTTTTGCTCTTTTTCTCTTCTTCGCCTTTCTTTTTCCTCTCTAATAGCTTGAAGTTTGGCCTTTTTTCTTTCCAGTTCAGCTTTTCTATCGGACATCATTTTGATTGCTGGCTATTGTAACAAATAAAGATTAGTATATAATAATTTAAATAAATAAAAAATATAAGAAATATTAAAACATATGTTATACAGTTAATGTTTAGACTTCCAATTAATGTAACGAAATATCGACTTTCTTTTCAAAATAGTAGTACACGCGTTATTGATTTATCTTTGGATGACGTCATTTTCTGCTAAGGCTTTGAATATAATGTTAAGTGAGTTTTGAGGGCAAGCTAATTTTATGTAGTTATGAACTAAGGACTTTATTCATTAATAGAAATATATGTATGTATCCTCAAATGGGATAGATTAATTAGTATTCAAACGAGATAAAGTATCGAACGATGAACATATTCGAAGGTTGCACTCATCAATGCAATATAACGAAGTGGATATATTCTGCATCGTAAATATAAAAATAAAAGATATATTATCTTCACCTTTGTCACGGAATTAGATACGAAACCAAGAAAAATGAAGTAATAATGATTAAAATATACTACATCCTCTAAACGACACACCCGCCATATAAATTTTGGACACCGCGACTGAATTCTTCCTTCTCGTTCGTAAGTCGACAGGCAGCGCCTCTATAGTCATAAAACAAAAGATAGTTTTGTCACATGGTAACACGTGGCGCTGCGTTCGCTTTGCAAACGAATTATTTTAATAATTGATTTTTAATTTTTATTTGTTTTATTGTTAATTTAGTAAAGAAATACTACGATTATTTAAGTAGTTCGGTCAGTATCATATTATATATGATAAACAGTTTCTACTTTAGATTAATTCGTTAGAATATAATCAGGAACTGACATATTCATGTCATGTTGGAGATAAAAGTTCGTGTAAAAAGAAAAAATTTTACAAAAAGATAAAATAGAAAGTTCATAATTATTTTATATTATTTATAATTTATTATAATTCTTTTATAGTTTGTGTTGTCTCATTATGATTGTGTGCCCGTAGTTGACTTGACGAAATTGCTATTTTTTCTCTAACCTCAAGTTTCAAAGTTCGCGCGTTAAAAAGTACATTGCATATCTGCATGGCATAATTAAATGCACAAAAATAATTTTTCGCAGTTCTCTTCAGTTTTAAACGATTTTCAAAGTCAATCATGATAATGGAAATATACAACTGAACGTGATTCGATTTTGAAATTTATGAAGAATAGTGTAAAATAATGTGTGTAGTGTATAGATGAAGTTCAAGCGAAGAAATTCAAAAGTCTGGATGCAATATTCACGTCATACGAGTTTCATCAATCACACAGCAAAGATTTATTCAAGAATTTTAGGTAAATCGTCTTATTTTCTTGAAGATTTATTTCTTTTAATTTGGCATAACGACTTTTATTAGAATTCATTATATCCTTCTTATTTTGATTTCTTTTATAATAATTATATATATAAATATATTATATATATATATATATATATATATATATAAATTTTTTTATATGACTTTAACAGATATTTTGCTATGTATATCTTTAAAGAAAATATTTCTATAACGTAAAAGTAGAAGTAGAAGAAAATGTAGTTTTATTATATGTATATATAAATATACACATCAGTACTTGTATATACATAAGTACATATATGTATATTGCATACTGGTACTATGCAAAGTTCTCGTTACTTGTATCACAAATTGAACGACTTTCTGATACCGACGACGCTGCACTTTGATTTTTATCTTTGGCGCCAATCGTAAGGAGGCGGTATATTCGTTTTCCCTCTATCGTGCTGACCTTTTGAAAACCTTTCGAGTAGAACATTTTAAAGATGTTGACTTCAAAAATTGGTTTTAAATAAGGATAAAATAAAAAAACGAAATATATTTATTAATGTGATATATACGTAATTTATAATCAGAGATCATAAAATCAAATAAATCAATGTGGATATTAGTATGGTAGTAAATTCAGAAAGTATCTTGATATTAATATTACGACAATACGTGGGTAGAGCTAAAAGAAGGTAATAAAGAATTTGATCTTTGAAGACTAAGCTCGCGTGATACTTCGTACTGGCTTTGCGTGTCGAAGTCCGCTTTACTTTATGGAATAGAATATACCTACATATGTATGTATTTATGTAGAATACATATGTATGAAAATGATTAAGACGGTGAATTTATTATTTTCTTATATATATATATAAAGTATAAAATTACTCGCTCTATTTAACCTCTGCTATTTTTATCGCTTTGTCAATTGACGATTGAAGATTGTCAAAAGAACATCCGACTGTTAATCTTTCATTTTGAAGCATTTTATGGTTTTAACAGGAATTTCTCTGCATTCTTTTATTTTCGATTAAAAGCAGTAATTGAAAATTGAAAGAAAGAAAGAACGAAAATAATTCGTAAAATGGTGAAAAGCAACTTTTTTTCGTGTCATCGATCCTCACGTAAAGTTCTTTAGAGTACTGTAAAATAGTCGTCGAGATTGAGATGCAAAAGGCTAATGGAAAACGCGAAACGGTACATGGTAATAGAAGATTCGAATCTTGGAAATGAGATCAATCCGTGAGAAAGAGAGAGAGAGAGAGAGAGTTTCCAGGTGACATGGTAGTAAGGAGAAAATTGCACTCGTTCATATGATTACTGATGTCAGATAAATATTGTCCAAGTTACTCCTTAATATTTCTATATTCTTTTTTTAAACGGTTTTTCTTTTGAAAAAAATGGTACGTTATAAATACCATGGTAGACAATATACTGGGATAAATTTTCAAAGGATGTATCGATTCCTTTAAGCTTTGTAATAGCTGAAATAGTACTCCATTCGAATAATAATAAGTTTCTCTAAAGCTTCGAGTAATGTCATTCGACATAATTGAAACGACAGAGATCAGTGTTTCGGTTTGGGCAAAGAGCATTCGTGGGTCGTTGCATTTATATGTTCCTTCCAGTCCAACACCACTTCGCCGCCCCTTCGATGAAAATGTCGCGCGAGAGACATAAACTTGGTATCCATTAGGCGCTTTCTGCTTACGAAATGTTTCACAGAAATACGTTGCCGCGGTATTCAGTCGACGTTATTCGCAACGTGGCAAGTTAGATTTAGGGTTTCCCCCTTCCTTCCATATCGCACTGAAATTTCTACTCACCCACGTTGGGTATATCCATATAATCTATCTTCCGTGAATCTTGTTTGCTATATATGTAACTGAGAAAGTTTTGCGACGTAGGTTAAAGTTTTGGTAGATTTACAGAATCTCAAATTCGTATCCGCGTAATCGGATCTAGGGGTCCTCTCTCTGTTTCTGTCTCTCTTCTCTGGTCAAACGAGTAAAAGGGCAGCCTTGTCAACGGGGTTTTCGACTCGCGGAAGAGTAGGCGGGTTACTGCTTTAGGATAAAGTACGGATGAACGTTGAGCGGCTAGACTGGGAGGGATGAAAGTGACCTCATCGCATTCACCGCAGACTCGGCTGCCTGATGAACCAGCAGGTGCATCCGTGCAGGAACTGAGAACCAGAAAGCAAAGTTCTTGCAATACATCCCTTGCTTTCTCGCCGTATATGTTTTAAACCTTCGTACTATTTATTCCCCTTTAAATCGTACCATCGTCTACCACGAGAGAAAAAAAGAGAAAAAGAAATTTCCGTCTTATTATTATTACTTTTCGAGAAGTGATACGAAAAATACATATCTTGAAAAGTTATCGCACTTGTCGTCGATTTCAAACGAATGAATGACCGAATATTCTCAAATAAATTCGCCCGTGCTAATTCGTAAAAAACTCGTATACTTGGAATCGTTTGTCTCACGACTCTGTAAAATCAATAATACCAGTACGAATTTCTCTCTGACGATGACGCGAAGGAGACTCGTAAAGTTGGTATTATATGGCTTTAAAGTTTGTCAATGTTTGGTAGTATCGTATCGTTCGCTTTTAGTTTATTTCTCGATATCAGATAATACTATTAAAGGGGAGCTATGTTTTGGATACTCGACGTGATTCCCATTACATATATTCTGTATTTGAGTACTCTGGAAGTTCGAACGCTCGGAGAATCGCATTTGATTCGTTCAAATAATTGGTTGTGAATCGATCACTCCTTTCTCTCTGTCTGTCTCTCTCTCTCTCTCTCTTTCTCTTTATCTTTCTCTTTCTCTCTCTCTCTCCCTTTCATTTTCTTTCTCATGAATATAATTCCAAGATGCAGACTGAAAATGGCCCCAAAAGGATACCGCAATTCCTTACATTCAAATGAAAATATCTTTCCGAACACGAAGTGTTGCCAACTCGGCAAGATTCCGAATCGTTATGGATGTTTGTTAGCACGTAGAGAATTCTACTTATCAATCCAGGATTAGTACGCATCCTTGCACACACGTTATCCTAGCTAATGCTCCCGTAATGAACGTTACTCATCAGCATGCAACGGCATTATCCCGGTACGAATATCGTGGCCCATTAATATCTGCTTCCCGATACGTGGATTATATGAGTTAACTATTAAAACGAATTTGCATAATGGATAGGTGATATGCGTCACGGAAAATGTGTCATAAAAAGGAAAAAAATGACTGGGTGAGTAAACGTTATTAGAAATGAGTAGATATAGTTAAACGAACGTAAAAAATTTTTTTTATATCGATGTAAGTTCTTTTCTCGTTATTATTCGTTTTTTCATTAATCCATTGATTGATTTAAAAATATAAACGTTTCTACATTAATATTACATTTTTGTCTTTCCAAATATTTATCGATACTTTTTCGAGAAGTTGCATGTCTAGCTGAAAAAGAAGTGATCCTAGCTTAAGTGAAATCGTTTTTGAGAAAAAGTTATCCGATAATAGGATCGAAGGTTCATCGAATAAATTCACAATTGATTCAATTTCTTAACTTTAGCTGTTACAATGATTACGCTATACATAGAGCTTCATGGTGGTACGTACTACGTAGATACATATAAGTATAGGTATATATAACATAGATCCGTACATAGACATTCGCGTTGTCGCGACACGAATGACGATATTGAAGGAAAATACTCAGCAGAATTACTCGCGACTTGGTACGGTTACGATCGAACGTTTGCTAGGGTTCCCTCTTAAATGTAGATTTTCAACGGAAGGTAAAACTCCAGGGGTGTCATCTTTTACATCCCTTGTCTTCTTTATTTTTTTTTCTTTTTCTCTCTCTTTCTTCTTTTTCTCTTCTCGAAGAAAGTAGAAACGTTGTCCTCAAATGTTCTCAGTAACAGCGACAGCAGCAGTAGCGGCAGTCGTTCGTTCATGATTCTTTGGAAACGCGATAAAATTTCCTTTTTCCTTTAAGTGGTCGGTTAATTAAATTTCTTCGTCTCTTCTTTCTTCTTCAGCATCGCACCCATTATCGCAGAGACCGATTAAATTTCCTCCTTGTTCTTTCCCTCTTCGTTTTATGAGCACGTCACGTATAGTATTTTCTTTTACGTCTGCTACTGTATCTTTTTTTCTTTCCTGGTTGATTATCATTGTCTCGATGTGTAAGTTGTTCGACTTAATTATAGATATGCCTCGATAAACTTTTTTTTTTTATGTTAATATAACATATATTTACAAGATGAGATATG